AGAGTGGCCGGTGCCATTCTCGCCGCGTCACGGGGGGGGGAGATGAGAGAGCGCAGCCTCTTCCCCTCAAGTCGCCCTATCCTATGGTTCCGTCCAAGCCGCAGCAGAGACCGCTTCGAGCGCGGCCGAGACAGACTGAAGGTTGTAAGTTGGTGGCCGCAAGAGCTCCTTTCGCCTCTGAGGAACCTCGCCCTCTGATTTCCTTCCACCCAGCCCCGGTGAGCATTTCCCCCCCTCTCCCGTGGAATGGTACTGGCTTTATACCGAGCAGACACAAGACAAGAACAAACCATTGTGTGTGGATGGGGGCGGGATAGTGGAATAACTCATTTCCCCCTTCTGGGGAATGCTAATGCCCACTCTCCGGCGGACAATCGCTGAAAGAGAACGTGGGAATTCGGCCGTCTTACGCACGAAACCTCGGGGAAGACTGTACGTGTCACCTATTTCCCCCCCTCTCCGCCCCTATTGTTTGCGTTGGTACTGGCCTTACGCATTGGCAGGGTATTTTCAGATCCTGGAGAGGGGAACCTACCAATAGGCGCGGGAGGGAGGACTGGACGGAACCATTGTGACCACAGGCGGGGGAGAGGGAGAGCGGCAGAGACATTGTTCTCCTGCGCTGCTTGAGGCTACGGGGGTTTTATTGACAGCTTTAACGCCCCTTGCAAAGTGTGCCCTTAAAAAAAAAAAGGTAAACACCCCAAATGGTAGCAACCTCTTTTATGAATGGAGCCCGTTGTGCACCCAGGCACAATGGAAGGTCGCTTCCAATCCTGCCCCCCACCCGTCTACCTGGAAAGGGACCCTCAACAGAGGCCGGGTGGGTCTCGGTTGGCGCTTGGTCCGCTCGCGATCCTCCGAAGAACACTGGTCGTATCCCCACCCTCGCGCATTTTTGCAAAAGAGGATTTGCAAAAACAAAACCAACCTCGACGCGTCTCCTCCCTTTTCTTTGGGGAATGGGCCTGCCCGGCTCTTTGTGAGGCTGAGGAGGGCTAGATTAAACCACTCGGGGGGGGGGGGGGGGGGAGGGGGGGGGGAGGGTGGAGGAAGGCGAGTGGAGGCAGTTTTGATCGCCGGATGACCCGCAGCAACGAGTTCTGTGCACAGATCCGCTCTGCGTGCAAAATCCAGATTCACCTGGCCTGCCCGCGTTTGGTCGCGGCGCAGCCTATTGTACACCCTGCCAGGGGAGGGGGGAGGACAGAAGAGATAAGAGGTGTAACGTGTCTGTCTGTGTGCTTTTTCTCCCCCCCGCCAGCAGGATCCGCACAAGGGATGGGCGACGGGGACAAGAATCCAGCCGCCGTGCCCACCCCGGTGGTTGACGTTCATGGAGACGGGCGGTGGATGTCCTTGGTGAGAAATTGGGCGTGCGGGGAGTGGGGGGGAGACACGGCCACTAGGAGGCGCAGTGCTGCAGAAAACAAAGCTGGGGTTAGAAAGGGTGGGGGTCTTGGTGGGGTTCCAGCCCTCATTTCTGTCTCGTGTCCCCATTCGATCCCTGGAAAGAACTGATCAGCAGTACCCTCTGTGACCTTTCAGGAGAAGGGTCCCTTATCAAGGTATCTTCCAGCTCTTGTAGATTACTTGTTGGTGTAGTGTTTAGGAGTGTGGACTCTAATCTGGGAGAACCGGGTTTGATTCCCCACTCCTCCTCCACATGCAGCTGCTGGTGTGACCTTGGGTCAGTCACAAGTTCTCTCAGAGCTGTTCTCTCAAGGGCAGTTCTTGAAAGAGCTCTCTCAGCCCCACCTACCTCACAGGGTGTCTGTTGTGGGGAGGGAAAGGGATTGTAAACCGCTGTGAGACTCCTTTGAAGGGCGGGGTATAAATCCAATCTCTTTTTGTTATCCATTCAGTCGTGTCCAACTCTTGGCGATTCCATGGGCCGGCTCTCTCCACGTTTTCCAATCCTGTACTGTTTCTTTTGAGTCGTTCCATGCTCAGGCTGGTGTCGACTTCTGTGGTGTCTGGCCACTGTGTTCTTTTGCCGCTAACCAATCCAAGCGTGATTGCTTTTTCTAGTGAGTTCTTCTGTATGACGTGGCCGAAATAAATCAGTTGCAGTTTTATGATTGCCTAGGTTAATTGAATGCAGTTACCGTGTGGGTTTAGAATTGTCCCTCTCCTTAACTTTACCAGGAAGAACAAAATTTGAGTCCAGGGACACCTTTAAGAACAGCAAAGTTTGGTGTAGAGAGCCAGTTTGGTGTAGTGGTTAAGAGTGGTGGACTCTTAATCTGTGAGAACCGGGTTTGATTCCCCACGCCTCCACGTGCAGCCGCTGGTGTGACCTTGGGTCAGTCACAAGTTCTCTCTGAGCTGTTCTCTCAAGGGCAGTCCTCGAGAGAGCTCTCTCAGCCCCACCTCCCTCAAAGGGTGTCTGTTGTAGGCAGGGGAAGGAGATTGTGAGCTGCTCTGAGACGCCTTCAGGTTGTGAAGGGCGGGGTATGAATCCAATCTCCTCCTCTTATTCAAGGTATCAGCTCTCATGCGCACGCAGACTTCTTCAGGTGTGCCTGCACACCAAAGCTGATACCTTGAATAAAACTTTGTTGGTCTTCAAGGTGCCCCACTGGACTCCAAGTTTGTTGTGCTCAGAGGTCATTTCGGGGAGGATCACGGGGGATCGCAGTCCCCCCGGGTGAGGTACGGGGGCGGGGCACATGACGAAGCCCCGCCCCCTGCTTCCAGCCTCCCCGCTTCCGGCCCTCATTCAGCCAGGAGGAGGCAGGAGAAGAGAGAGGGTAAGTTGCTTCCTCCCTGCCTCTCCCCACCCCTGCCTGCCTGGGGCCAGGGAGGGCCTTTGCGGGGCTTCCTCGCACTCCCGCTGGCCTTGCAGGTCCACTGCCGGGCCCCTCATGGGGCTCGGCAGTGGAGCTGCAAGGCCGGCGGTGGCGGCCGGGACCGTTGGGGGCGGGGTGTGTGGCCTTATGACACACTTCCAGTGATGTCAGGGGGTGTGGCCTAATGACACACTTCCGGTGATGACAGGGGGTGTGACATATGCTAATGCGTTATGCTAATGAGTTCCCCTAGGTCTTTTGCTACGAAACGACCCCTGGTTGTGCTGCTTCGGACAAACGCGGCTGCCCACCTGGATCTATGAACAAGGGCGAGAGAGCCGTCTAAAAGCCCTTCCGGCGGAGACAGGTGTCTTGATGACCCGCATCGCAGTCCCGCCCTGACCTGGGTAGCCCAGGCTAGCCTGATCTCATCAGATTCTCGGAAGCTAAGCAGGGTCAGCCCTGGTTAGTACTTGGATGGGAGACCACCAAGGAACGCCAGGGCCGCAGTGCCGAGGCAGGCCAGGGCAAACCACCTCTGAGCGTCTCTGGCCTTGAAACCCCCGTGGGGCTACCAGAGGTCGGCTTCGACTTGATGGCAAAAACAGAACAATAATTTCACCCCCCATGTTAGATTCGCCAGTTTGGTGTCGTGGTTAAGTGCGCGGACTCTAATCTGGGAGAACCGGGCTTGATTCCCCACTCCTCCACGTGCACCTGCTGGATGACCTTGGGCAAGGCATAGTTCTGACGAGAGCTGTCCTTGAAAAAGAGCAGTTTGTGTCAGAGCTCTCTCAGCCCCACCTGCCTCACAGGGTGTCTGTTGTGGGGAGGGGAAGGGAAAGGAGTTTGTGAGCCGCTCTGAGAGTCCCAAGTGAAGGGCGGGGTATAAATCCAATCTCTTCTTCTTCTTCTTCTCATGTTCCAGAAAGGTAGGCGGATGTGACAAAAGGCCACAGGCTTAGCGTGGCATGTTTTGCCACCTGGAGACCCATCGTGCGCTTTGGCCGTTCAGTAGACGGGAACGTGACCGTATGGAAACGTTTTGGGGCGGTCGCATTCATTGGTGTGCAAAAGGTTCCAGTTCTGCAGAGCCCCCTGCTTTAAACCGGCTGCGTAGGCCAATGTTCCCTCTAAGCTATGGAGACTTGTGAGAAAAAATTCTACTTGGTGAGCTCCTGGCATTAAAGTAGTGAGCGAGCGATTTGGCTACTGCATAAATCAGTTTACTCTGGAGCCATCGTTCCTGAGTGACGGCAAGAATGTGTGAGCCGGAGGCTAAAAAACGGTGAGCCAGCTCACACTAACTCAGCTTAGAGGGAACACTGGCATAGGCACTGCCCGGCTCTCGTGTCCAGCACCTTAGGTCGTTCCCTCCCCCAGCCTCCTCTGTGGGCACCGCCCCCTTCTTGACACCCCTCCGCCTCTCTCCCGTCCAACAGCACCAGCGCTTCATCGCCGACAGCAAAGACAAGGAGCCCGAGGTCGTGTTCATCGGCGACTCTCTGCTGCAGCTCTTACATCAGTTTGAGGTGAGGCGGCATCGCCAGCTGCAAGAGGGATGGGTGGGGTGGAGCAGACAGGTGGACTCTAGGCAGCCGACGCTCCGTTCTTTCCTTCTCAGATTTGGAGGGAGCTGTTCTCCCCCCTCCACGCACTCAATTTCAGCATGGCGGGGGACGCGACTCAGCACGTGCTCTGGCGCCTGCAGGACGGGGAACTGCAACACATCCGGCCAAAGGTATGAGACTGAACGGCAGCATGCCAGTTTGGTGTCATGGTTAAGAGCGGTGGACTCTAATCTGGGAAAACCGGGTTTGATTCTCCACTCCTCCACATACAGCTGCTGGGTGACCTTGGGTCAGTCACAGTTCTCTCGGAGCTAATGTCGCAAGGGCAGTACTTGAGAGGGTTCTCTCAGCTTCACCTACCTCACAGGGTGTCTGTGGTGGGGACTGGAAGGGAAAGGGATTGTATGTTTGAGTACTTCCCCCCCACACACACACACACACACAACGTGGTGGTGTTTGGCAGAGCGAGCGAAAAGGGTTAGGCTGCAGTGATGGCGAACCTTTTAGAGACCGAGTGCCCAAACTGCGACCCAAAACCCACATTTATCACAAAGTGCCAACACGGCAATTTAACCTGAATACTGAGGTTTTACTTTAGAAAAAACAACTCATACATTAACTTAAGATGACCCAAACAAAGTAAGGAAAGCAATCCCAAATGCTTTCATTTCCTTAAAATTATTTGGCAGAGAATTCGACACTTTAACAATGGGCTGGGCCTGGCTGGGGCGATGGCACACGGGCCCACAGAGAGGGCTCTGAGTGCCACCTCTGGCACCCGTGCCATAGGTTCGCCACCACTGGGTTAGGGGCTTGGTGCAGATTTGCTGTACTAAGCTTTGGTGGCTTCTGAAGACAAAAGCATCGAGAGAGCCAGTTTGGTGTTGTGGTTAAGTGCGCAGACTCTAATCCGGGAGAACCGGGTTTGATTCCCCCACTCCTCCGCTTGCACCTGCTGGAGTGATCTTGGGCAAGCCGCAGTTCTGATACGAGCTATCCTTGAAAAAGAGCAGTTTCTGTCAAGAGCTCTGTCAGCCCCACCTACCTCACAGGGTGTCTGCTGTGGGGAGGGGAAGGGAAAGGAGTTTGTAAACCACTCTGAGACTCCCTTGGGTAGTGAGGGGCGGGGTATAAATCCAATTCCTTCTCTCTCTTCATGTGCTATATACTTCGGCAACCGTTCCACCTAGCCCAGCGTTTTCCACCCTGCTTGGCAACCACAAGCCAAGGTTTCCGGTGGATGTTCTCTCCCAGCTCTTGGTACCCATATCCTTACCTGCCCCTTGCCCCTGGGACTTTGGACGTGCAAAGCACGTGCCCCGGCAGTGGACTGCACACCCTCCCTAGGAATCGTTTCTCCCACACAGGAGATTTCCGAGGCGTGTAGAACAGAAAGAGACAGAGGCTGCCGTAAGGGAGTTTGAGTGGCAGGGCAAGGGACAGCAATGATGGATGTCACAGATGGGTAGAAACCTGGCCGCATCGACACGTCCTGCGATGCTCTGGAACTCCCCCTGCCGTGCTGATGTTCTTGTCTGGGTTTTCACCTGGATACGACATTGGCGTGCAGGGTGATGTCATTTCCATCTGCTGCAGGGCAGGAGGGAGGAGGTCGCCCACCCAATGCGGGCAAATAGTCAGCCCAGAAGGAGGGCTTCATTTCTTTCCCTCCCAAGAAGATGAACCAATATAGGCAAGGCAACTGTTCAGGGAGACGGCCTGCGTCTGTTCAGCACCCAAGGAAGCCCAAATAAATCACGCAGATTTGCCTGCGGTGATTTTTCCTAATCTCCCTCCAGGAATGAGGGGTTTTTTTTTGGGGGGGGGGGAAATTACGACTTTGTTCTTTCCCTTTTGCAAGACTGGGAGGGAACGATTAGGAAAGGCATCAGCGACGGCTGCGGTGGCCAAGGAACAGTACAAATAGATTGTCTTCCCACCCCCCCACAAAATAGCCTGAACTCTTTGGCAATGCATAGAAGAAGAAGAGAAAAGATTGGATTTATACCCCGCCCTTCACTTGGAGTCTCAGAGCGGCTTACAAACTCCCTTCCCCTCCCCACAACAGACACCCTGTGAGGTTGGTGGGGCTGAGAGAGCTCTTTCGAGGACTCTTGAGAGAACAGCTCTGAGAGAACTGTGACTGACCCACGGTCCCCCAGCTGGCTGCATGTGGAGGAGTGGGGAATCAAACCCGGTTCTCCCAGATTAGAGTCCGCACACCTAACCACTACACCAAACTGGCTCTCCAAGCGGAAATATCCATGTGTGTCAGTCCATCCTGCATAATTCTGGTTTCATTCAAGGAGGGGAGGGGCTGTGGCTCCGTGGAAGAGCCTGGCACAGAATCATAGAGTTGGAAGGGACTTCCAGGGTCATCTAGTCCAACCATGCAGAAGGGCCCAGGCTCAATCCCCGGCATCTCCAGTGAAAAGGACCAGGCAGGAGGGGATGTGACAGACCTCCACCTGAGACCCTGGAGAGCCATGAAGTGGGGCTGTAGCTCACTGGTAGAGCATCTGCTTGGCGTGCCGAAAGCCTCAGGTTCAATCCCTGGCATCTCCAGTGAAAAGGACCAGGCAGGAGGTGATGGGAAAAACCACTTCCTGAGACCCTGGAGAGCCATGAAGTGGGGCTGTAGCTCACTGGTAGAGCATCTGCTTGGCGTGCCGAAAGCCTCAGGTTCAATCCCTGGCATCTCCAGTGAAAAGGACCAGGCAGGAGGTGATGGGAAAAACCACTTCCTGAGACCCTGGAGAGCCATGAAGTGGGGCTGTAGCTCACTGGTAGAGCATCTGCTTGGCGTGCCGAAAGCCTCAGGTTCAATCCCTGGCATCTCCAGTGAAAAGGACCAGGCAGGAGGTGATGGGAAAGACCTCTGCCTGAGACCCTGGAGAGCTGCTGCCGGTCTGAGTAGACCAGACTGACCTTGCTGGACCCGAGGGAGAAATGGAAATCCTGTCTCACCCATTTCCTCTCCCATCATCTGGGGTGGCGCCAGGCACTTCCAAGCATACCCGCGCATCCCCGAGAACTAGAACCTTGCTTATGAAAGAAAACAAAAGCCGGGACTCGCCGCGTTGCTGAATCCTGCACCCAGTGATGTATTTATGACATCTGACGTCTGCAGAACATGTCGGATCCCGTGCAGCCAGTGTTCCCTCTAAGCTGAGTCAGTGTGAGCCAGCCCACAGTTTTTTAGCCTCCGGCTGACAGATTATCTCCGCTCAGGAAGGAGGGCTCCAGAGCAAACCGATTCATACAGTAGCCAAATCGCTTGCTCGCTCATAACTTTAATGCCAGCAGCTCACAAATCAGAGTTTTTGCTCACAGGACTCCACAGCTTCGAGGGAAGCACTGCTTGTGGCTGCCGGAATCCTCTTCCCCTGATCATCTACATCCCGTGTCGGTTTCTTTCCGGCCTCTACACTTTCTGCAAAAGCTCTCAGGCTTTCAGCCACACATCTGAGGGCTAATAACTGGCTTGGGGGTGGGGGCGGGGGGAGGAACGACTGGTGTTAAAATCCCAAGTTTTTGCACATCTTGGTGACCAAGCCAAAAAACCCCACAGAAGGCAGACCACAGTTCTTACCTCAGGGGGATCTCACACAGGGAACTCCTGCGGTGAGCGGAGCTGCTAAAACGTTCCTATTTTGCTTTCTCTCCCCCCCCCCAATAAGATTGTGGTCGTCTGGGTGGGCACCAATAACCACGGCCACACAGCGGAGCAGGTGGCGGCTGGCGTAGAAGCCATTGTGCACCTCATCAATCAGCAGCAGCCGCAGGCCCGCGTGGTCGTCTTGGTGAGTGCCCAGCGGTGGGGGCGGAGATCTCCAGGGGGCGGGGCTGTCCCCGGACTCTCTTTAGCCCCGCCCTTGTCTCCCCTGTCCCCGTTTAGGGCTTGCTGCCGCGAGGCAAGAACCCCAACCCGCTCCGGGAGAGGAACCAGAGGGTGAACGAACTGCTGGGGGCCAAGGTGCCGCTGTTGCCCAACGCCACCTTCCTCGACGCCGACCCGGGCTTTGTGCACTCGGACGGGACCATCAGCCACCACGACATGTACGATTACCTCCACCTGAGTCGCCACGGCTACGCACGGTTCTGCCCGGCGCTGCACCGGCTGCTGCTGAGCTTGCTGGGAGAATGCAACGCCAAGGCCTCTTGACCGCCCTGGTTCCTGCCTGGCAGGGATAGTGGGGGGGGCTCCCCTTTCTAGGCTGGGGGAGGGCCGGAGGCACCTCCGGGGAAGCCGGAGCACACAGCCCACCTTCAGTCTTCCAGAAGGGCAGATCATCCGTATGTTCTTCTCCTTCACCCACCTGACCAAATTGGATTACTTCAGCCTGGGCGTTCAGTTCTTTAAACAGTTTAAAGCTGCTGGGCGAGTGGGGTGTGTGTGTGTCAAGCACGTTGGCGGACAAAACGCCAAGAGGCTGAGCGGGGAGCGAGTGGGAGCAAACTTGCTTTTGTTTACTTAATAAAAATGGTGCATATTTCCAATTGTGGCGTTTGAGTACTTTCCCACACACACACAACGTGGTGGTGTTTGGCAGGGCGAGCGAAAAGGGTTAAGGGCTTGGTGCAGATTTGCTGTACTCAGCTTTGGTGGCTTCCGAAGACAAAAGCATCGAGAGAGCCAGTTTGGTGGTTAAGTGCGCGGGCTCCAATCTGGGAGAACCGGGTTGGATTCCCCACTCCTCCACATGCAGCCAGCCGGGTGACCTTGGGTCAGTCACAAGTTCTCCCAGGAGCGGTACTCGAAAGAGCTCTCACAGCTCCACCTACCTCACAGGGTGTCTGTTGTGGGGAGGGGAAGGGAAAGGAGTTTGTAAGCCGCTCTGAGACACCTTTGGGTAGTGAAGGGCGGGGTATAAATCCAATCTCTTCTTCTACCTCACAGGGTGTCTGTTGTGGGGAGGGGAAGGGAAAGGAGTTTGTAAGCCGCTCTGAGATACCTTTGGGTAGTGAAGGGCGGGGTATAAATCCAATCTCTTTTTCGTCCCCCCCCCCCTTAGTTCAACGACAAGGGGCCGGAGCTCACCGGCAGCTTTGCTGGTCTAAGGGAGCTTCCCTGAAGAAGCAGGAATCTCCACCGTTGATTATCACAAAAAAACACCTCCACAACAGAGGGGCAGAAGGTGCTTTACTCAAAATGGACATGGCTCCCAGCATGTGGGGAAACTCGCGTGGCTATGCGAGTCCAGGGCTGTAGCCACAGGGGGAGGGGCGCTTGGGGCGATGCCCCCTCCAGAATTTGCCCTGGGGCAACTGGTGACTACCGCGCTTGCCGGCAGCAGCTGCACACAGAAGTTGGTTGGCTGGCGCTGGATGTTTTCTAACCTCACACTAAGACAGCTAGCTACGGCATACTGCCTGTTCGAAGGAGAATCGGCTTTCCCCGGCAGCCCTACCAAGCCCGGGAAGCCAACTTCCCATACGGAAGAATACCTGGGCTCAATTGACACTGGACGCTCAGTAACGACACAGCAGCCGTGAAAACGCGGGAAAGGCGAAGAAGAGCAAGGGATCGGCTTACCGGCAAAGCTTCCCTGGAGGAGCTGGAGGATTTGAGGGAGCCTGTAAATTCAGCGGGTGAGCGGCAGTGTTCCCTCTAAGCTGAGTTAGTGTGAGCTAGCTTGCAGTTTTTTAGCCTCCGGCTCACACATTTTTGTCTTCGCTCAGGAAAGATGGCTCCAGGGCAAACTAATTTTATGCAGCAGCCAAACTACCTGCTCACAACTTTAATGCCGGTAGCTCACAAAGTAGAATTTCTGCTCACAGGACTCCACAGCTTAGAGGGAACATTGGTGAGCGGTGGGTTTGGGGGGGGAGGGGAGCTCTCCTCTCCCTCCCTGATTTCCAAAGGGACCCTCTTGCCTTTCCTGCCGCTTCTTGGTAGAAGAGCCAGAGAAAGCTTGAAAGCGAAAGCAACGCCCGTGGAGGAGGAAGCAGTTGGAGGGGGGGTGTTTTTGGCTGCGTGTAGTGGTCAGAGCGTCTGGCGTCCCTTCGCCATGGATGTGAGCTAGACCAGGGCGGTCCTCTGCTGACTTGGCCTCCTTTCCCTTCCTGCCAGCTCTAGCGGCACTTAATTAGATCACCGCCAATTATATTAGTCAGTAATCTAATTAGTGGCCGTCTGATTAAGCTCCCCACTCTCCCCCCCCCGAAAATTTTGCTCTCCCCCCCAATTTTTTTTCTGGCTGTGGGCCTTTGTGAGTCACAGGTTAGAATCCCGCCGCTCTTGAACGTTCACCAGACTAAAGATCGAAGCTAAACTCTTGCCCAACGGGTTTCTGAGCATTAAGAAGCTTAGATGCTTCTGGACCGAATGGTGAATAAAACGGAGATGAATAACGTAAGCCCCTTTGGGTCCCCGTTGGGGAAAAGGTGGGGTATAAATGAATTAATTAAACACAGCCCCTGTGTGCCCACTCCTCCTCTGTTGCTCAAAGTCTGGGGCATGAGGCAGGAAAACAAAATCCAGGGGTGGGGTGGGGGGAAGGAAGGTGAAGCTACAGTTTGCAAGTCAGGGAAAAAAAGAAGTTTGAAAAGACGGCTGTTTGGTTTAACACACGCAGTTCTAAGAGTCGACAGCCCAGTGCTGCACATCTGAACTTTAGACACCTGTAAAAGGTGCAAATATGCATAATTTATTCTGCTACTGCCAAACTGGGGGGGGGGGGGGGGGGGGAACAGAACACAGAACTCTTGCAAACCTTTCTCCTCCCACCCATCGGCACCAGGAGTTTGCCTTTACGCAGCCTAAAAGAGTCAGAATACAACATGAACTGCCCAGTCGATATAACAAAAAGGGGGGGAACCCATTGCTCAGGGTTGCCAACCTCCAGGTGGGGACTGGAGATCTCCCAGAATCCCAAGCGATTGCCAGACGACCAGAGCTCAGTTCCTGTGCACCAAGCGGCAACTACACCTGAAACTCGGACCCTGCCGCCCAGGTGGGACTTCTGCTTTCAAGACCCCTGCAGGGGTCGCCTATCTGCCCCTTCAAAGGCACACGTCCTAAAACACTGCCTTTAACAAAACCCAAGCAGCAGAACCAGAACAATCTTAGGGGGCCAATTTCTAGGCAGCCCAGTGCGCCCCCCCCCACCCCAGCCTGCGCTTGTTGCAGAATTACCCATACCTGCGATGACGGTGAAGGACGTGCTTCGGGAACAGACTTAACGACTCCGCAGCCGACGTGATTGTTAAAGAGCTTTAATAGCATGTGAGGTGGGGCCACCCCGATGCAGAAGGGGTCACACATGGTCAACATGTGGCTTCGGCCACCAGCGTGCTCACGCTTGGGGGGAGGGAGCCCCCCGCCTGCCGGCACAGCTCTCCGGCCGGGTCGTCTCCCGCACCCAAAGACCGTCTTCTGCTCCCGGCTGGATTCGGGCTGTGCGCTGCCAAGTCAGTGCGGCTCTTCTCCCCCCCCAATAACACTACTCCACTCCCGGTTTTGACCACACGGGGGAAAGTCGACCTTCCGACACACTCCCCGCCTCCCTCCTCTCCTCATTGGGCCCTTCGCCCGTCAAGAAGGCACTTCCCGCCCCTCTCTGCAGCAGTGGGTGGAAAGACTCCCCCCTCCCCAGTTAACTGACACAGAAGCAACGAGTATGCATTGGGGTGGGTGGGGGTGGGGGTACAGTCTGGAAATATTCAACGTTTGTTAAAAGGAGGAAGGGGACTAGAATCCGCCGCTTTACGGGTTATCTGTTGCCCACGGCCTGCTGCACCCCCACCCCACCCCCGGAGATCTCCTCGTGGCGTCTCCGCCTGTGTCCTGGAATGGCTGATATTTCTTCCACACCGCCCCTCCGATCCGTGGGAGGGACCTGGAGGAACCCACCGCCGACACCGCCCCCAGGTGAAATAGCCGGGGAGGAGTGTGAGGAGGGAGACCGGGAAGAGTCCGTGCAGGACAAAGGGTAACCGAGATCCCCCTCTTCAGTCCCTTTTTGGGGAAGGCAAAGTTAGCGGGGGAAGAGCAGGTGTGGGGAGGAAAGATGGGGGGCAAAGCTCCGGGACCCCTCCCCCCCCGCAAGGCTGTTTCATATCTTGCTCGGCAGCTCGGTCGCCATTCGTTCATCTCCCGCTGGTGTTGCTGCCGTTGCCGCCGCCGCCTCCCCCAGGGGAAGACTGCTGGTTACAGTCCCAGCCGGCAGCTATGGTGGAGGGCGGGGCCAGGGGGGCCGCGGCCTCCACTCCGCCCGGTGTCGAGTCCTGTGCCAGGGCAAGTTCCAAAGGCTGCCCTTCGGCGGGGCCGCCTTGGCCGGCGGAACTGCCGGGCTCCGGTGTGCTGGGCGCCTGCTCCGTCGGGGTGGCCGCCTGCATGATCTTCTGCCGCACCTCTCGGATCTTGAGCTGCAGGCAGACCTTGGTGGGGAAGATGTCGGAGTAGCGAGCCTGGAAAGCGGCGGTGGCTTGGGCTGCGGAAGGAGGACACGGCTCCCATCAGGGCCACCGGCGAGAGAGCGTGGCAGATCACCGCGTGAGCAGCCACCCCCTCCCCCCTTTGCAGACGGATGCGGGAGCAGAAGGGAGAGACGCTCTTTCCTCAAGCAGCAGCCCAGCCCCCCAGGAGACCTCATGGGGGCGGACGGGAGGACAAAAATGCCAAGAGAACAGGCCTGTAGCCAGGATTTTTAAATTCAGGGGACCTTTAAATAAGCCAGGGGGCACCCCGCACACACCCCCAAGGGAGTGCCACAAATAAAATAAAAATTTGGAAGTCGGGGGGCGCGGGCGGGAAGTCAGGGGGCCTTGGCAGGAAGTTGGGGGGCCAGGCCCCAAGGTGCCCCACTGAAGCTACGGGCCCGCAAGAGATAAGAGCTCTCAGGCAGTGCGCCCATAAGCACTAGTCAAACGGCACGAGGGGTCAGATCAAGATGGGCGGCCGTGTTAGTCTGTCTGTAGCACTATTCCATTTTTTTAAAAGTATATGTGCTGCCGAAGTGAGCACGTCTGTAGCGCTAGAAAAGAGGAAGCGTCCAGGAGCACCTTAAAGACTAACACAATTGGTGGCAGGGTAGGAGCTTTCATGAGCCGCTGCTCACGTCTTCAGATACTTCTCTGAAGAAAGATTCACGGTGGGTGGCCGTGCCGGTCTGAAGCAACAGAGCAAAGTTTGAGTCCGGTGGCACCTTTAAGACCAATGACGTTTAATTCTGGGTGTGGGTTTCCGTGTGCATGCACACTTCTTCAGATACATTCAGAGCCCAGTCTGGTGTTAGTGGTTAGGAGCGCGGACTCTGATCTGGGAGAACCGGGTTTGAGTCCCCACGCCCCCACATGCGGCTGCTGGTGTGACCTTGGTTCACTCACAAGTTCTCTCAGAGCTGTTCTCTCAGGAGCAGTCCTCGAGAGAGCTCTCTCAGCCCCACCGACCTCACAGAGTGTTTGTTGTGGGGAGGGGGAAGGGAAAGGGGATTGTAGGCCGCTCCGAGACTCCTTCGGGTAGTGAAGGGCAGAGTATAAATCCAGTCTCTTCTTCCCTTCTTTTGGGCGAAGATGGGAGATGGCTGACCCAATCTCTTCTCCTCTTCTCTTTTCCTCAAGCCTTACATATAGGTAGTGGCCAGGATGCATAAGTAGTCTTGAAGGTGCTACTGAACTTTTGCTCTTTTCTACTGCACTGGGTACTGGGAGCAATGTTCCCTCTAAGCTATGGAGCCCTGTGAGCAAAATTCTACTTTGTGAGCTACTGGCATTAAAGTTGTGAGCAGGAGCTTTCGCTGCTGCATAAATTAGTTTGCTCTGGAGCCCTCCTTCCTAAGCTGAGACAAAAATGTGTGAGCCAGAGGCTAAAAAACTGTGAGCTAGCTCACACTAACTCAGCTTAGAGGGAACACTGACTGGGAGCCCTTGCAGGGGGGGCTGTGGCTCAGTGGCACAACACCTGGCGTCAACCTCTGGTGTCTCCTGTTAGAACAATCCGGCGGGAGGTGATGCCGCCTCCACCCGAGGCCCCGGAGAACGGCTACCAGTCTGAGCTAAAAGGGTCGGGCTGTTGGGGACGTGAATAGACACCTGCCCCGAGACCCTGGAGAGCGGCTGCCAGTCTGGACAGACGATACCGACCTTCAGTGGAAAGGTGGGTTTGATTCCGTGTCAGGCAACTTCCTGTGTTTGGCTTAGAAGCCCTTCTAAAAGGAGGGAGGGGGAGGGCTGAAAAATGAACGGAGCGGGCCTTGGAATCCGGCGGCAGAAGCCGTGCTTGGCCACCGGCCACCCTCTTAAAACACCCTTCGTACCTGAAGGGAAGAAGCCGTGATCCTGAAAGAGCTGCATGACCAAAGCTCTCCTCTGGTCCAGTGTACGCCGGAGTGACGAGTACGGCACCTTCTCGTACTCCAGCTCTCCGAGTACGTCTTCTGTATCGGTGCCTGCGAGGAGAAGGAGAGATGAAGACTGGACTTATACCCCGCCCTTCGCTACCCGAAAGAGTCTCGGAGCGGCTTGCAATCTCCTTTCCTTTCCCCTCCCCACAACAGACAACCTGTGAGGTGGGTGGGGCTGAGGGAGCTCTCTGGGGGACTGCCCTGGAGAGAACAGCTCCGAGAAAACTGTGACTGGCCCAAGCTCACACCAGCAGCTGCAAGGACACAAGGACTGGCCCCACCAGCGGACCTCCCGATGGCACCTGGTGTTTTTGGCCACTGTGTGACACAGAGAGTTGGACGGGATGGGCCTTTGGCCTGATCCAACACTGGCTTCTCTTATGTTCTTATAAGAGGGAATTGGATAAGCATATGGAGCAGAGAGGTCCATCAGTGGTTATTAGCCACAAGGTATAGATAGGAACTCTCGGTCTGGGGAAGGTGATGCTCTGTATTCTTGGTGCTGGGAGGGGGCAAGAGTGGGAGGGCTTCTAGTGTCCTGGCCCCACCAGTGGACTTCCTAATGCCCCCTGGTGTTTTTGGCCACTGTGTGACAGAGTGTTGGACTGGATGGGCCTTTGGCCTGATCCAACATTGGCGTCTCTTCTGTTCTTATGAGCTGGAGGTTAACAGTAAACAGGAGAGCTCTTGTTTTTTGTTTGTTTGTTTGTTTTGGTTTTCAAAGTTGTATTTAATTAAAACAATACAAACATGCATACTGAAAAATATGTTACATTGTGTGTTCAATCAATTTCAACTCAGTATCTGTGCATTGCACATAACTAGCCTTGTACTCAGTCTAATCTACTTTTCACCTCCAAAACTTATATAGTAAGAGCTCAGCCTAACACACCTGTAAATCAAAAATGTATCCATTCCAGCTCTTGTGAAGTCAACCAGCTTACTGGCACTCCAGGGCCACTGTCTGTCCATCTCTCCCACCAAGACCCTCTGGAGCCCAGCCGCCTCGCCGCACGTTGAAACCGGGCCGCTCACAATAGTTGACCAGGCTCACGATCGGGGCCCCCTTAACCATTTGGGGTGTTGCGATTGAGAAGGGGGCTGGGGCTGCCCAAGGGGGAACCGAGAACTGTCTTGGCAGCCGGGTGAGGGGGCGCTTCTGCTTTAAGTGTGACCCCCGGGGTGTGTCGTCCCCCCCCCCGTCCCCCGGTCTCTAGCCCCGTCCCTCTTTCCTCGCCTACCGGTTTTGTCGAAGGTGAAGATGTCCCCCTCGCATTTGGCGCTCTTGGGGGTGTTGGGCTCCGAACTGCAGCTGGAGCGGCGGCGCATCTTCCGCTTGGGGGAGATGGGGTCCTCGGTGGAGGAGTCGAGGTCTGGAAAGGAACACCCACACGTCTCGCGTCAGCCGGCCAGAGAGAGAGAGACAGAGACAGAGAGGCACGCAAACCCTGCATCGAAGGAAAGCCCACTAACACAGCTCTGACTTCAGTGCCTTTGAAATCTTTTGCTTAGGCTCCCAACAGTCCTCCCCAAGGTAGATTGCTCCTCCCCCATCTTATCTATCTCATCTGGAACCCGCCTCCTCCAGGGAGATCAGGGTGGTGTTTTGCAAGGCCCGCCCGATTTGACAGACCTTGAACTCGGTTCTCCACCATCTAAAGCCACCTCTTTATGCTCACAGCCACACGGGACTCAGGAAGGGGTTAAACCCACAAGCTTTATTCCAGTCTTGCACCACCAAGGGCACAGAAGTTGTCAGTCCATAAACATTTCCCCAAGCCCATCTTGCTCATGCATGCCACTGAGACACATAAGTAGTTTTATCTTCTTTCAGGTAATCTCCTGACTGGTCCCTCTGGAGGACATTCTTATTCTAATACCAGACCAGCCATGCTGTGACTCCACACGCTCTCGTGGGACAGTCCCGGGCACTTTCGTCTCCCAGATAGTGCTGGTCTTCCCATGCGGGCTGCCACTCCGCCCGCAACCCCTTCCCGGGTCCAGCTGCACAGCTCACCGGTGGAGTTCTTGCGTTTCTTGCGGTAGCTGCCCAGGATGGCACGGGGCGAGGTGGCGAGGGACTGCAGAGTGGGCGAGGGCAACACCTCCTCTGGCTTGAATTCGGGCAGCTCGGCAAAACGCTCCTCGAAATCCACCTCCGACAGAACCCTGCTGGGGGGAGGGAAACGGGGGGGTATGGGTCACAGAGTGCGGCTAACTGCTTCCCCAGGGTGGGCCCGTACGGCTTCCCACCATAACAGCCCGCTCATGCTTTGGCCATCTTGAAATGGGGCTCTGAGATCTGGTCTCCCATCACTTGGCAAATTACACAAGTCACGAGACCGCGATTGCAAGAGGGCGACACCCAGCAAAGCCGGCATGACTTGGTACGGATGGCCAAGGACACTAGTTTTGCCCAAGAAAAACAGGTCTATGTGTCAGGTTTCGGCGGCAAGAAAGCACCACATTGGCATGTTCGGGATACACGTGCTTTGCGAGGCATGAAGGTGAGCAAGACCACCTAGGAACGAGCAATGCAAGAAGAAGAAGAGATTGGATTTATACCCCGCCCTTCACTACCCAAAGGTATCTCAGAGCGGCTTACAATCTCCTTTCCCTTCCCCTCCCCACAACAGACACCCTGTGAGGTCGGTGGGGCTGAGAGAGCTCGTGACAGAAACGGCTCTTTTTCAAGGACAGCTATTATCAGAACTATGGCTTGCCCAAGGTCATCCAGCCAGGTGCAAGTGGAGGAGTGGGGAATCAAACCCCGTTCTCCCAGATTAGAGTCCGCACACTTAACCGCTACACCAGACTGGCTGTTGTGTTCAGGTCAATGACGTGCTGCCAGCCACATGTGTTCGCCACCCAACAAAGCCCAAATCCTTCAGGTTGGATCCAGACTACCGGGGGGGGGGGGGCCGGGGTGGGTGCAATTTTGGGCCAGTTTCCCCTTCCTGCTTGCAGACCTCTGATTGGCCCCACATGCCGTTCTTGGGAGTCTCCTAGGAGAGGGGTAATTTTTGGCCAACTTTCCTTCCCCTTCATTCCATCCTTGAGGGATTCTCGCCTTTCGAGAGGAGCAGTACAGGGAGATCAAAGAAATGCAGTGGGAGGCAGGAAGGAAGAGAAGTTCTGTTCTGCTGATGGAAATGTCTTCCATATTGTGGTAAATTTAGTCTGGGTTCAACCGCCTTTAGTCCTGCGACCATTCTGCCCCCACGGAGCGCTTTCCCCACACCGCCTTGGCCCACAGGGCACATGCCCATTCGTGCAGAGCACCAAACAGATACGTTGGGCTTTCCCATCATTCCGTGGTACGCTCCGCACTCCTCTCCGCACTTCCTCTGCCTGCGTCAGGGGAAGACTGGGAGTCACAAGGGTCTTCAAGAGTAAAGGTAAAGGTTTCCCTTGCTCGAAAACCAGTCGAATCCGACTCTATAGAGTTGCGGTGCTCATCTCCGTTTCCAAGCCGAAGAGCCAGCGCTGTCTGAAGACGTTTCCGTGGTCATGTGGCCGGCATGACTAAACGCCGAGGCGCACGGAACGCTGTTCCCTTCCCACCGAAGCGGTACCTATTTATCTACTTGCAATTTCTTGCTTTCGAACTGCTAGGTTGGCAGGAGTTGGGGCCAGAGACGGGAGCTCACTCCGCCATGCGGCACTCGGGTCTCGAACTGCCGAACTACCGACCTTCCGGCCTGCAGTTCAGTGTCTTAACACCTACTTAACTTGTCCTTCGCCCTGGGGTTGGACAGGGGCACAGCGCTGGCCCCTAGCTACAATGGGGCGTTTGGGTGCTCCGCCCCCTCAAATGCGAGGCACTCCCCACAACGGCTGCTGCCCCTCCCCCGGCATTAAAAGGGCCCTCCAGCTGAGCATGTGGCCCGCCAACCATCTGGATGGCCCTTTATATCTTGCAGCCGCCCCCCTCTCCTTTGCTCACGCCCCACCGACCCAAAATTTCTGGCAGCGAGGGAGAAAGATACGCTTTCTGTGCAGAAGGTCCCAAGCACAATGGGTGGCACCAGGAGTTCAGGTACGTCAGGCGGCAGCTGTCATTAAAGCGCTTTCCTGGCCAGAGACCCCGGAAAACCACTGCCGGTTGGCATACTGAGCCGGATGGATCGAGGGCTTGAGATGAATCCACCCCAGCACCTCTCTTAGGAAGCCAGGGCTCAAAGCTCAGGCTCTCTGTCCCCAACCAGCCCCCCCATCACTCACTTGTCAACAGAGTCAAATGTCTTCTTCAGCGGCGGGGGCCGGACTTTCACTTTCTTCCCCACGGGCCCCTCCTTTTGTTCGGGGCCTTCGGACGCCGAGGCTCCGCCCCTGGAGCTCTCCCCGGAGCTCAGCAGGCCGGGACTGTGGGAAGACGAGCCCGGCGGCGGCGGCGCCGAAGCCTCAGGGCGGCCCTCTACTCTCCAGTCAGGGGACGCGGGGAATTTCAGGGCCTGCAGGAGAGAGCGTGGCGAATGCCGGTGAGCGGTTTGGAAACGTCACCCCAAAGACGAGGGGGCAGACAGCGAGACAGGAGTTAGAAGGGAATTAATCAGGGAGGGCTTGCGTTCACGGGGTAAGATGGGAGTGATGATGACGAAGGCTCGGAAGCCGGGGGGAATGCAACCGAATCGAAGCTCCAGAGGGCGGCAGTCTAAAGCGAAACGGCCAATTTCAACCGGGACGGGTAGCCGAGAGTTAGTCTGTTAGTTAGCAGTATAAAAGAGCAGGATTCCAGCAGCACCTCCGAGACTAACAAAATAGGTGGCGGGGGAATGAACTTTCGGGAGCCACTGCTCACTTCTTTGGATACGGCTAGAATGGGAGTCCGTCTGTCCCGTTTACTGGAAAGCGGAGTGATTTCAGGTACCGAACTACACTGGCGGGCAAATGACAATAGCGGGTGAGTCCAAATCTGAGCCCAGTTACGCCGTAGAGACCAACCCCTCTGAGACCAAAGGGAGCTTTGATCACTGCTGTTAGGCTGGACTTTTTATGCTCAGTGTTCCTCATTGGTACATTTTAAAGTTTCACGATATTTTTTTTTTTTTAAGTTTACAACCCGAAAAACTTGTCGGCCTCTACGGTGCTACTGGACTTGAATCCAGCTCTTCTACTGCAGACCAACATGTCTATCTTACTGAAACTAAGGACAGTATTATCTCTTGGGCTGAACTGAAATGGAAGGAACCATTTCCAAACACTTTCTCTCTGATTCTGGTATGGTGGAGTCCACAGAGACAGTCAGATTTCCGCGCGCACACGTTTTAAGTGGGAAATATGCAGACTTGCTTTTTATTAACATTAAATTAGACTGCGTGAAAGAGCAGTGGCTCCCGAGCTACTGTTTGGCCGCCCCCCTGCTTATGGGGTATGAGAACATAAGAGATGCCAATGTTGGATCAGGCCAAAGGCCCATCCAGTCCAACACTCTGTGTCACACAGTGGCCAAAAATACCAGGTGCCATCAGGAGGTCCAGCAGCGGGGCCAGAACACTAGGAGCCCTCCCACTGTTGCCTCCCCCCCAAGCACCAAGAAGACAGAGCATCCCTTGCCCCAGACTGAGAGTTCCTATCTATACCTTGTGGCTAATAGCAACTGATGGACCTCTGCTCTGTATGCTTATCTAATTCCCTCTTATAAGAAGTCAATGTTGGATCAGGCCAAAGGCCCATCCAGTCTAACACTCTGTATCACACAGTGGCCAAAAATACCAGGTGCCATCAGGAGGTCCACCAGTGGGGCCAGGACATTAGAAGCCCTCCCACTGTTGCCCCCCCCCAAGCACCAAGAAGACAGAGCATCCCTTGCCCCAGAGCCCCTATCTATACCTTGTGGCTAATAGCCACTGATGGACCTCTGCTCCATATGCCTATCTAATTCCCTCTTGAAGCCATCCATGCTTGTAGCCGCCGCCACCTCCTGTGACAGTGAATTCCACGTGTTCAGCACTCTTTCGGTGACGAAGGACTTCCTTTTATCCGTTCTAACCCGACCGCTCAGCGATTTCACGGAGTGCCCACAAGGAGTTCTTGTCTTGTGAGAAAGGGAGGAAAGTCCCTCCTTCTCTACCTGATCTCTCCCACGCATCATCTTGTAAACCTCAATCCTGCAGTCATGCAGTCATCCAGGCAATCGTGAATCATCTAGGCTTTCAAGGCAAGAGGCGTTCGGAGGCCATTGCCGGCTTCCGTGTCGAGAGAGACCCTGGAATCCCTTGTGTGTGGGGGGGTCCTCCCCCATCCAAAGGCTGACCAGGGCTGACCCTGCTTAAGCTTCTGAGATCTAATGAGATCTGGCTATCTGGCGCCATATCCAGGCCAGGGCGGACCTCGAATCTAACCAAATCTAAACTCACCACTCTTGGGAACGCCTAACCTTGGCTTAGAAAACTTTTCTGCATGCAGCTGAAGTTTGCGTTTGGGAGGAGTCCCCAAAAGAGACAAGAGTTCTGTAACCGGGGGGAAACAGGCGGCAAGGAGGCCTCCTTTCTGAACACGATGCGTGGACAGGATTGCTAAAACGGCGCTCTTGGTTAGGTCTGCTGCATGTCGTGACTACTGGGGATGCCACAACAGTGAGAAAAGGAGGGTCGTCAGGGCCGGGGCCTTACCGTCTCAGTCCCTTTGCCACTCAGTGGCAGGGCAGGCAGCGGGTCGCGGGCCGCCCTCTCCTCACTGGGCCCGGCCGACGTTTCCCGCTGGCTCCAGGCTTCGGCGGCTGGCATCTCCGTTACCGGAGGCTGCTGGGGAGACGGGGGAGACACCGGCTCCCAGGAGTCCCGCTTCAGTTCCTGCGGCTTGGCTGGCCCCGCCGGACTCTGCTCGGCACCCCGAGATGCGGGGGAAGGTGGTGGCTCTTGGGGCCCCGCGTCCCGCGAAACCCGCTCCCCGGCGCCTTCAGCCTCCCGGTGGTAGCGTGTCGCTCCGGGCTCCTGCTGCTGGCCCACAGTGGGGCGACCTGCACCTGGCGAGGGGGCCGATTCGTACGAGCCGACGGGGATGCTGGCGATGGCGGCCTTCACCTTCTGGGGAGGCTTGAGGGGTGGGCGTTGAGGCCGGGCGGCTGCTGAAGGGATGACCTGGGTGGCTGGAGGGGAACAAAGAAGAAGAAGAGAAGAGAAGAGATTGGATTTATACCCCGCCCTTCACTACCCAAGGGAGTCTCAGAGCGGCTTACAAACTCCTTTCCCTTCCCCTCCCCACAACAGACACCCTGTGAGGTAGGTGGGGCTGAGAGAGCTCTTGACAGAAACTGCTCTTTTTCAAGAACAGCTCTTATCAGAACTACGGCTTGCCCAAGGTCATCCAGCCAGGTGCAAGTGGAGGAGTGGGGAATCAAAGCCGGTTCTCCCAGATTAGAGTCTGCGCACTTAACCACTACACTAAACTGGCTCTCAGAAGGCTGGGGAAACTGTCACAGAGAGCCACAGACACCCAACAAGCGATGCCCCCTCTAAGCTGTGGAGTCCCATGAGCAAAAATTCTACTTTGTGAGCTCCTGGCATTAAAGCTGTGAGCAGGTGATTTGGCTGCTGCATAAATTAGTTTGCTCTGGAGCCATCTTTCCCGAGTGGAGACAAAAACGTCCGAGCCGGAGGCTAAACAACGGTGAGCTAGGCTCACACTAACTCAGCCTAGAGAGGACGCTGTCAACCAGAGAGTGTCTGCTGGTGTCCATTTCCACATTCTATCCTCCCTATTCAGGACTAGACGGACTCTGGGGTTACAGGCAGGCTCACGAAACATACGGACTCAGCATGGAAGGTTGGACGGTCTAGAAACCGGATTCCTCTGACGTAGGGCCATTCTTAAGAGCACGCGGGCTGTGGCGAAATCTCCGGAGCCAGAAAGGGGTATGGTAAGATTCCTAGTGGGGTGTCACTTCTGTGTCCCCCCACCTCCTCATCAACAGCAAAAACTAAGTTATGCAAAATAAGCAACGGCATGCCAAACATCTTGTTTCGCAGGGCAGAAACCCGGAACGCAGAACTCTGGTTCTGACAGCACACAAGAGATGAAACGGAGGCCAAGGAGCCTCTTCCGCGGCCGCCGTTTCCCGCTTCGCCATACCTGAGGAGGCCAGGCCCTGGCTGGGGCCACCGGCGCTCTGGGCGCTGCCCCCCTTGGGCAGGATGGCCGTGGGAGAAGAGACCGTGGCGGGGCTCGTGGCTGCTACCGTGTAGATCATGCTGGGGGTGGGCGGCTGGGCCTGTCTGGCCCCCGTGGGGCTGGGGTAGATGGCAGTGATGACCTGCCCCTGTCCGGAGCAGGAAGCCGGCAGCTGGGGGCTTTGGAGCGGGGACACCCCCACTTGCCCGGGTGCCAACAGCGGGCTCTGACCTGAGAGGAAGCGGAACAGGGAGACGGGAATCAGACAGAGGGACGGAAGCTGAACGGCTGCAGGCGAAGCCGGTTCCGCCACGGCCACCTCTGGAGCTCTTCCCCCCACCCCCGATGGATCCACACACCCACGGCCCCGGCCTCTCCACACACCCCTGCCCCCCCTCCAGCCTTACCCGAGAGCAGCGGCTGCACTATGGCCTGCCCGTTCGGCCCGATCGCCGTGAAGCCCAGCGCCATGGGGGCAGAGCCCACCGGGGACTGGACGTAGGTGGTGGCAGGGGCGGCTGGGGGGACGCTGGGCTGCGTGTGGGAGGCCGAGGTGCCGAGGGACAGGGGGTGCCCGGCCGCTGACTGCACGTAGGTGATCCTGGGGGCAGAGAGAGGGAGCGGGGGGGGGAGGGTGTGCGTTAGAGGGGTCCGGCTGCTGACACGGCACAAGAGCGCTCCCCACCCTGCGTGCTCCCGGGACCGGGCACGGCAGTGGGCGCAGCCGATACATACCTGGTGGAGGAGGGCAACAGGACCTTCTGGGCTGGGCTCGGGGAGCCCACGACGGCCGCGGCTACCGTGCCCTGGAGGGCAGCGGGGCTGAGCGGGGGCACCAGCGCGGCGTTGCTCTGCGGAGGGGGCTGGGGCTGGACCACCGGCACGGGCGTCAGCTGGATGATCTGGGGGGACAGCGGAAGGGACGGCGTCGGCACCAAGCAAGGCAGGCCGGAAAGAAGGAGAGGGGGAGATTGGATTCATACCCCACCCTTCAGCACCCGAAGGTGTCTCAGAGCAGCTTACGATCTCCTTTCCCTCCCCCTCCCTACAGCAGACACCCTGTGAGGCAGGTGGGGCTGAGAGAGCTCTGACAGAAACTGCTCTTTTTCAAGAACAGCTCTTATCAGAGCTACAGCTTGCCCAAGGTCATCCAGCCAGGGGCAAGTGGAGGAGTGAGGAATCAAACCCGGTTCTCCCAGATTAGAGCCCGCGCACTTAACCACTACACCAAACTGGCTCTGAGCCGGCTAGCATTGAAGAGTCTAGTGGGTAAGATGCCCTCCAACACAAACTGTAGAAAAGGTCACAAAATTTGGGATCTCCTGGACCCTACACCGGGTGGCGCCCATCTGCCCCTCCCCTCTTTCCCCACGGAGCGGTCCCTCCCTCCCCTCCGCCCCGCCCTTCCACTGACCTTACTCGCCGGCTGGCTCCCGTTCTGCACGGGCACGGGGAACGGCGGGGTCACCAGAGGCAGCTGGGCGGGGGCGGTGGTCCGCACGGTCACCTGGGAGGTTGCCATGGGCACCAGGACCTTGCCTTGCACCTGTAGGCCTGCAGGGGGGACCACCGGCCCGGACCTGAGGTGGGCCGAACTCCCGGGAGACGGGGCTTGGACTGGAGACACGGACTGAACTGCACCCGGAAGGGAGACATTGAAAAAAGAGAGAAAAGGCAGCCTATTAACGATCGGGTCAGCTGGTGAGTGCCTGGGTCAGCGACACTTGGTTCCAGCACCAGCCAACACATATGAATGAATGCCTTACGCTAACTTTTACTGAGTCGGGGCCATTGATCCGTAAAGATCACTGGTGCCTGCTCGGACCCAGCAGCACACCTCAGACAGAGGTCTCTCCCGTCACCTGCTACCGGATTGTTTAACTGGAGATGCCGGGGATCGAACTGGCAACCTTCTGCATGCCTAGAGATGTAAAATTTCCGGAAATTTTGAAGCTCGGAAAAAAAACCGTTTTCTCCCCCCCGTTTTTTCCCGGGGGGAAATGGAAATTGTCGGAAAAATTGAAAAAAAATGCTACATTAGCATTTCTTTTGTCTCTTCCAGATTGAAAGTCATTCTGTTACTTTAGGGACATAAAATATGACTATGGACATTTTTACTTGGCATGAAATTATCACAACTAGCATATTAAAAATATAGTGTATCCAAACAATTATTACAAACAGAATACCCACCCACATGCAAAAACAAAACTGAAACCTTTTTATTTTCTTCTGACAATAGCACCTCCTAAAGGAAGAAATGCATCTTGTTCTTGCATTGGAGAGTTCAGTTTGTAACCTAGGACTTGCTTGTCCTCAGTGCACAGAAATTAGATCAATCTGATACCATACATATTTTTTGGAAATGATTTGGAAAATATTTGAACACCTTGTCTTAAAATATTTTATTCATCATGTTAAAATAAAACGTTCCATGGGTTTTTTCCGCATTTTCCCGGTTTTTTTCCGGGCCTTCACATCTCTATGCACGCCAAGCAGATGCTCTCCCGCTGAGCCACGGCCTTTCCCCATCAGGGGACAGTCTTCTCCGGAAAAGTAGTGTGGGGTTCGGAGGACAGTTCCGCCCACACCGGATTAGTGCAAACCAGGGAGAGAGATCACGGGATGGGCGATGGAGGAGAACGAAACAACCGTGATACGCCATGCCGAAGAGAAACACACTAGCGTATTTGAAGATCGTTACCATGAGAAATGGCCAGAGTGCTTGCTAAATGAATTAATTACACAGGAATTTCAACGCCACCCACTTTGATAAAGCCTGAAAACAAAACGAGACAGATAGGCATGGTCCGTTGTGGTGTTTATGGCGTCTGAATTGCTCCAAGTAAACTGGACACTGAATAAGAACTTACAAGTCTGTGGATATTTTTCTTTGGCATAATAGATCACTGTTGTTTTGTTCTTCTCCACCCACATCAGGCGAGCGGCAGCCATGTTGCCCCGGCCCTCCCGGCTGCAGAGGCACAGAATGACCCCAGAGTTTCTACGTTACACAGCGCGTGCAAAGACCGAGGAAAGCAGTAGTATTACAATACGGATTTTCTCTTAGAACTTGAACATCCTCGTTTCCCCCTCGGGAGTGGAAAAACTACAGGCTGGTTTTTCTACCCAGCAAGATCCGGCAGAGTCGCTGGTGCCCGGATAAACGGCCCTCACGGGCTGGATCTCGTGGCCGGCGCTAAAATGAGAAATTGCCCACCCACACTGTGCCATGGCGGCCCCTATGGGGGCTGCTGGCGGTTCAGTCCCAGCCTGTGTGTTTCTTAACAAGAGTGCAAGCTCACACAGATGGAGGGAGAGGAGGGGGAGTCATTGGAACAGTTGCGGAGGACATGCGGAGGATGGGACTGGGTTGGGGAGACCCACTTTGCTTACTGCCCTTACACTCCTAAACATTTCCCGGGGGGGGGGGGGGTATAAAGTTCTGCAGTTTCTGAAGCGTGGAGTTAAGTGGATTTTAAGAACATAAGAGACGCCAATGTTGGATCAGGCCAAAGGCCCATCCCGTCCAACACTCTGTATCACACAGTAGCCAGAAATACCAGGTGCCATCAGGAGGTCCACCAGTGGGGCCAGGACATTAGAAGCCCTCCCACTGTTGACCCCCCCCCCCAAGCACCAAGATGTCACAGAGCATCACTTGCCCCAGAGCCCCTATCTATACCTTGTGGCTAATAGCCACTGATGGACCTCTGCTCCATATGCTTATCTAATTCCCTTTTGAAGCCGTCCATGCTTGTAGCCGCCGCCACTTCCTGTGGCAGTGGATTCCAAGTGTTAATCACTCTTTGGGTGAAGAAGTACTTCCTTTTATCCGTTCTAACCCGACCGCTCAGCAATTTCATGGAGTGCCCACAAGGAGTTCTTGTATTGTGAGAAAGGGAGAAAAGTACCTCTTTCTCTACCTGCTCTTTCCCATGCATAATCTTATAAACCTCAATCATGTCACCCCTCAGTCCTCGTTTCTCCAAGCTAAAGAGCCCTAAGCGCCTTAACCTTTCCTCATAGGGATTTTGCTCTGCCAAACTGATCGCCACTGCTGAAAAGACACTCACGCTGCTCGTTCTCCAGGACCGGGCAGTCAAAACGGCCCTCGCGGTGCTTCCGAAGCGTGATCAAGTTAGGGGTCCGGCGAGCCCCCCAGAATGCCTGTGTGGGCACCTCAGATGTTCTGCTTGGGACCAGGGAGGACATCCCAAGGTTCCCCTGGCCAATCTCAGGAACTGTCCTGGGAGACGGTGAGGGAGGGGCAGTGGGGCTCTACTCAAGACTGGCAGCTGCTGTCTAGGGTCTCAGGCAGAGGCCTTTCCCATCCCCTCCTGTCTGGTCCTTTTAACTGGAGACGCCGGGGATTGAACCTGGGACTCTCTGCATGCAAAGCGGAGGCTCTGCCACTGAGCCACGGCCGCCTCCTCCCACTATACAGGGCGGTGTGAGCGGCTGATCCAGAGACACACAGGATCAGCCCACGAGGTGCAGAAAATCCCCATCTTAAGCGAGCCCAGAAAAGCCTGCACCTACCTTTGGGTGCCGAAGACACAACAGTGACACTGTTGTTACTGCTTCCTGGCGCAGGCTGGATGATGGGGATCGCCTGGGGGGCGGTGATGACCTTCCCGTTGGCCGGGGGCAGGGTGAAGTGGATGCTGGCGGCTCCGGGGCCGCCCGCCCCGGCCGGCACCTTCCCTCCGGCCACCTGCAGGTGCTGAGGCAAGGTGGGCAGGATGTACTGCACCTGGGTGATGCCGCCGGCCTTCCCCGCCGTCCCGGAGAGGATGCCTTGGGGCTGCAGGATGCTGAGGGGCACCGGGCCGTTCTGCCCGGGCCCAGGAGGGTTCTGGGTGATGAACTGCACCGAGGGCTGCTGGGCGATGGTGGCACCGGGCGGCAGGACCGTCACTGGGATGCCGGCCCCTCCGGCCCCGCTCGGCTGCCCGTAACCCTGAGTGCCCACCAGGAGGTTGGTCACGACGCTGCCCTGGCTCGGGGAGGCTTTGCCCACGGCAGCCAAGCCCTGCCCGATGAGGGGCCCGGCCACCAAGTGAGGAGACGTGGCTTGGATCCCGGGCATCGCGGAGGGCTGCGGGTGCTTCTTGTCGGCGTAGAGGAGTCCGATGCGGCTCATGGGGACCCCTTCAGGCTTGCAGCTGCCGTCGGAGGGGGGAGGGCTGAGCAAGGCCGGCCCCTCCCCTGGCCCGCGTGGGAAGGGCTTGCTGGCGATGGGCACGGGCGTGCTGCTGACCGGCTTGACCACGTTGGTGACCACGGTGGAGGCCGTGCGGACCAGGTTGGGCGCCCCGCTGTAGCCGATCACCCCCATGCTGGGGGCGCTCATGGAAGGGGCCGTCACCAGCACCGTCCCGGAGGTCAGGCGGGCGGCGTCGGGCAGCACCACAGCCTGAAGCACGCTGCTGGGCGGAGAGATGACCGAATGCGTGGGAGCGGAGGGGAGCGGCGTTCCGGAGTCCGCGGCCGCCTGGGGACCGCCGGCGCTGTCCGCCCGCTTCCGCCTGTAGGGGGCCGCCACGGGGTCGAAGCGGGGCTCCGGGCGCTTCACCGGAGCGTTGTGAGGAGAGAGCCCGCCTCGGGGGTCTTGGCTCTTGAAGGTGCCGGGCGTCATCTGGAAGGAGCCGTAGGACTTGGGAGGGGGTGGCTGCTGCTGCTCGGGGCCATGAGATGGCGGGGGCTCTAGGTCCAGAGGGGACGGCGGCGGGCGGCAGGGGGCAAAGGCACCAGAGGAGGGGGGCAGGGCCGCCGAGCGGATCACTGGGGAGAACACCTTACGCCCAAACTCCTACAAAGAGAGGATGTATAAATCAGAAACCACACATTTACTAACTTACTTCATACCCCACCGTCTCCCCTTAACGGGGGACCCACGGTGGCTTACATAATTCTCCCCTCCTCCATTTTATGCTCACAACAAACCTGTGAGGTGGGCTAGGCTGAGAGAGTGTGGCTGGCCCGAGGTCACCTGCAAACGTCCACTGCAAGGTGGGGATTCGAACCCATTTCTCCCAGATCCTAGTCCGACACGCAAACTGCTACACCACGCTGTCTCTCAGTAATTATTAGACTACTGCAACGTGCTTTGCTTTAGGGTACCCTTGAAGAGTGTCCAGAAGATACAGCCAGGGCTTTTTTTGTAGAAAAAGCCCAGCAGGAACTCATTAGCATAACCGGCCACACCCAACAGCAGGAACTCATTAGCATATTAGGCCACACCCTGACACCACAGTCCATTAGCATATTAGGCCGCAGCCCCGTGTTGCCAGAAGTGTGGTCATCCAGCCACACCCACCTTTTGCTTCTTATTCTGTTTACCTTGTTTGTCATCAAAACCCAGGGCCTTTTTTGTAGCAGGGACTCCTTTGCATGTTAGGCCACACACCCCTACTGTAGCCAATCCTAATGAGTTTCTGCTGTTGGGTGTGGCCTATTATGCTAATGAGTTCCTGCTGGGTGTGGCCAACTCGGGAGCCAGCCGGAATTTCATTCCTGTGCGTTCCTGCCCAAAAATAGCCCTGGGTACAGCTAAGTGCAGATTGCAGAATGCTGCAGCTAGGTGGCTGATTGGGGCCTGCTAGTTGGGAGCATGGGACCCCAATATCACAGCAATTACACAGTCTACCGATCCACTCCAAATCCCAATTCAAGGTGTTGGGTTTTAATCTTCCAAAGCCACACGTGGCTTGAAAACAGAGTATCTGAAGGATGGTCTTCTCCCACACGTTCCAGCCCAGGAAAAAAGATCACAGGAAGAGGCCCTCCTGGCTCTCTCATCCACCAAAGAGACTCGTTTGGCAGGCACTCAGGAGAGGGCCTTTTCGGTGGCAGCCCCACGATGTATGGAACACCTTCTCTAGGGAGGCGCACCTGGAGGCAATCTTCAGGAGGCAGCTGAAGGCAGTTTTATTTAGGACTGCTTTTGGTTAAGTCTACTAGCAGTCCCGAGTAGTGATTTTAAACCTCGGCTTTACGTTTTTAATGTGTTTTATTTGTGGTGTTTTATCTATGTTTCTAAGCTGCCCTCATCTCCATAAGGGAAAAAAGGCAGGTAATGTTTTAAATAAATAAATAAATACATTTGAAGAGACCATCATAGGGTTGCCAGGTCTGGGTTGGAAAATACCTGGAGACTTTGGGGGTGGATCCAGGACAGGGCGGGGTTTGGGGAGGGGCCTCTGCGTGGTACAATAGAGTCCACCCTCCAAAGCAGCCATTGTCTCCAGGGGAGTGGATCTCTGTCAGCTGGAGATCAGTAGTAAAAGCGGGAGATTTCCAGGCCCCACCTGGAGGCGGGCAACCCTGAACCATCATCACACACACACCCCATGCAGCTGTCGTCATACTGTTTTGTCCAGTAACTGTCAGTTTGTATTCATTTCTTTAGGTTACTTAATTTTCATTTTGTTTAGGTTACTTAATCTTCCACCTCCACTTGCAAAGAGGTGTATGGTAAAAAATCAGCAACGTTCTTGCTTGTAGCACTGGGACTCCTTGACAAAAGCGTGGGTGAGGCAGCACGGTAGCTAAGAGGTGGAGTTCTGGATCAAAAGTGAGCTCCTGCTTCAAATCTCTGCTGGAGCTCATGTGAAAACTTTAGCCAAACCGCTCTCTCTCCCTGCCTTGCCCTACAGCTGAAGATAAGGACATAAGAGAAGCCAATGTTGGATCAGGCCAATGGCCCATCCAGTCCAGCACTCTGTCACACAGTGGCCAAAAATACCAGGTGCCATTGGGAGGTCCACCAGTGGGGCCAGGACACTAGAAGCCCTTCCACTGTTGTGCGCCGCCAAGCTCCAGGAATACAGAGCATCACTTGTGGCTAATAGCCACAGATGGACCTCTGTCTAATATATTCTCATCCAGCACCTTTCTCCAGGGTACTCACGGATAAGACCAATGTACATGGTTCTCCTTCCCCCGTTTTTTGCTATCTTCACAACTTTCTTGTGTGGTAGGCTAGAGGCCCAAGGTCACACAGCGAGTTTCGAGACAGAGTGGGAATACGCTGCCCAGGAATTAAGTTCACAGTGAGAGGGGCTGTGTGGTAGCCACACGAGAGAGGGGGACAGCCCCACCACTATGGAACAACCTCCCCAACGGAGTTGCGCCTGGCCCTCTTGCTTCCGATCTTCAGGAGGCAGCTGAAGACAGTCTTATTTAGGACTGCATTTGACTAATTTTTTTTTAAATTTACCGAAAATCCTAATTGAGATTTTAAATCGTGGTATTTTGTATGTTTTTATCATTGTTCGGCCGCCCCAAGTTCCCCAAAGTAGAAAGGTGGCTCATAAAACGTCCTAAATGTATCCCCTCTGAATACCTAGAATGTCTTGAGGAACCACAGTACATACTATTTCCGTGTTTCAGTGTCCTCTTTCTCCACTCTTGTACGGCTCTCATCTCCCCACCCACCCGGGCTGCTCCCGTTTTACCCTGGCTTCTGGGGCCCCCCTCACCTTGTTGTCCGCTTCGTCCCCCAAGGACCCCTCGCTGTCACTGTCCGTCACGCGCTCCTTGCATTTCAGGTCAATGTCGGCCGGGTTGAACCCGTCTTCGGCTGCAAGGGGCAGAGCGACACGAGTCAGCGGGACGCCCTGGAACACCCCCCATCCCCCCACCTGAAAAACTCTGCAGAGGAGAGAGAGAGGCTATTATCCCAGAGATCGAATTACTGCAGACCTGCAAAATGTATTTCATGTGAGCATAAGCGTAATATGGCAGGGGTTGGGGGATGTTCAGAATGACAGCCGCTGCTCACTGAAAGGTCTCGAGATGATGGCGGCAGCAGGTCCTCGGTACAGAAAAGGAGGTGAGCAAATGGGGGGTGGGCACACACACACACACACACCCACACACAGCAGTGCAAAGCAGATAGCAGAGCCACAATTTCCCCCCTGGCATCTGGCCCTACGTCAGAGGAACCTGGCTCCGCCACAATGTTCCCTCTAAGCTGTGGGGTCTTGTGAGCAAAAATTCTACTTTGTGAGCGACTGGCATTAAAGTTGTGAGCGAGCGAATTGGCTGCTGGATAAACTAGTTTGCTCTGGAGCCCTCCCTTCCTGAGCCAAGACAAAAAGGTGTGAGCCAGAGGCTCAAAAACTGTGAGCTAGCTCACACTAACTCAGCTTAGAGGGAACACTGCCTCCGGGGGCTTCTGGCCGTTCAGTCCCAGCCTGTGACTTTCTTAACAGTGCAAGCGCACACACGTATTGGGGGGGGCACAAGGAGGGGGAGTCATCAGAACAGTTGAAAAGGACATGCAGAGGGGGGGATTTATTTATTTATTTATTTATTAGACTTATACCCCGCCCTCCCCCGTAGGGCTCAGGGCGGCTAACAAGGCAAGAAATCTTGCAACAATAAAAGATAATTCAACAATAATACAATTTAAAACCAATCCCAGTACAGATTTAAATTTAAAGTGCTCGTTGATCTTCATTTCAAAACCCCAAAGATGATGGGCCAAGTCCAGAGGTTCCCCATAGTCGTTCAGTGGTTTCAACATTTATTCAGATGTTCAAGAATTCAGATGTTTTCTTCCTAGGGCCTCTTCCACCCCCCATGATGACAATATATTTAAAGGTGATAACCAGCACTTTGAAGCGAACCCGGTACGCTATTGGCAACCAGTGCAGCGCTTTCAGCACAGGCTGGATGTGATCTCGTCTAGGAAGATCCATCAACAGCCTGGCTGCAGCATTCTGCACTAGTTGCAGCTTCCGAATTTGCGACAAAGGCAGCCCCATGTAGAGAGCGTTACAGTAGTCTAACCTTGAGGTGACCGTCGCATGATAGAGGGGTGATAGCCACTTTGCAAACTACCTTCTACACATTTCAATGAGGGGGGGGAAGTTTTGCCGTTTCTGAAGAGTGGAGTTAAGCGGATTTTGCTCTGCTCAAACTGATCGCCGCTGATTAAAAGACGCTCGCGCTGCTCTTTCTCCGGAACCGGCTTCCCATGTCTAGGGCTGGGCAGTCAAAACGACCCTCATGGTGCTTCCGAAGCGTGATCAAGTTAAGGGTCTGGCAAGCCACACCCCAGAATGCCCGCTTGGGGTCAGGGAGGGCTTCTCAGTGGACTCCCGGCCAATCGTAGGAACTGGGACACAGTGAGAGACGGCAGTGGGTCTCTACAAGTTTCCCAACCCTACACGTGGTTATTGGAAAGACGTCACCTGTGTCATGTGAAGCTGCTTTCTACTAAATCAGACCACTGGTACATCAAGGTCAGTATCATCTATGTCCTTTCTCCTGTCCTCTGGCCCCGTATCAGAGGAATCTGGTTTCTAGTGCCTTTAAACGAATCCAAGTGAATATTCCGTATTATTTCAATACAGGTTTTATTGCCCTTTAATACCGACAGCCATCCCAATCGGGCTGCCTGTACAGCCGTAAAAGCACACGTTTCCCTCAGTCGCACCATGCGCGGTTCAAGCCAAGCGCCCATTCCACGTTATTGATGCTGGGTGGGACAGTGGCCTTTAACCTTTTCAGACCCGGAAGGAAGCTGAGTTAGTGTGATCTAGCTCACAGTTTTTTAGCCTCTGGCTCACACATTTTTGTCTTCGCTCAGGAAGGATGGCTCCAGAGAAACTGATTGATGCAGGAGCCAAATTGCTCGCTCACAAGCACGGTTCAAGCCAAGCGCCCATTCCACATTATTGATGCTGGGTGGGACGGTGGCCTTTACTCTTTTCAGACCCGGAACTGACGCACACTGAACACCCAGGATGGCAACACAGGACCCGCGGAGCTGCAGAATCACGACCCTGCGTTCTCTGCTGGGGCTCCCACCTTGGGGGACGGCCTGCCGGAGGAGGTCGGGAAGGCTCACGTTTGCCCGGCTTTCCACAAACAATGCAGAATAGAATTATTCAGGAGGGCTTTTTTGCACAGGCAACGGGGCCCGTACTGTAACAAAGGTTCAGAAACGGCACTGGGGAAGGGACTGGGACAGGGGCCCATACCAAGGTTTCCCAGCCTGTGGTTTGGGACCCAGAAGTGGGGTGTGAAACCTCTGGAAGTGGGTCGTGGGCCAGCCCTCCCTAATGGCTGTTCGCACCCTTGGCGTCATCCTTTCTCTCCTCGTCCTCTTAATCAACATCTCATATTCTTGCCTTCCGCTGCCCTCCACGATATTGAGTGGGGGAAATCTGCCCAGCAATTAGTAACTAGGGTAGCAGCTGGAAAGAGGGGGAAACGGGATGCCACTTGCTTGGGGGCAGTTGCACCCTTCGCGCAATGTTGCTGGCCACTGTACAAAGTGCAGTGCTGGACCAGATGGGTGACAAGGTCACAGTTCGCCCCGGGTGGCCAAAAAAACCCTCAGGCTGGCCCTGGATTGGGTTACTTGTACTTGTGGGTCACCAGACCAAAAAGGCTGGGAACGACTGGCCTATATTTATTTATTACTTATTACTTTCAATTTGTATCCCGCCTTGCCAGCACAATATGATTGTATTGCTACCTATCCCTGCAAGCGTGCTCCAGACGAGGTAGTTTCTACATCGCTTAACGTATCATGTTTATGAGCTCATGCTTTGTGTCACCTCTGTTTGAGATTTCCGTTTTGCTTTCGGATTCCTGTAGCCCCGGCCAATGCTCCCTCTGAGCTGTGGAGTCCTGTGAGCAAAAGTTCTACTTTGTGAGCTACTGGCATTAAAGTTGTGAGCGAGCTATTTGGCTACCACATAAATTAGTGTGCTCTGGAGCCACTCTTCCTGCAGGCATTAAAGTTGTGAGCGAGCGATTTGGCTACCACGTAAATAAGTGTGCTCTGGAGCCATCCTTCCTGCAGGCATTAAAGTTGTGAGCGAGCAATTTGGCTACCACATAAATGAGTGCGCTCTGGAGCCATCCTTCCTGCAGGCATTAAAGTTGTGAGCGAGCGATTTGGCTACCACGTAAATAAGTGTGCTCTGGAGCCATCCTTCCTGCAGGCATTAAAGTTGTGAGCAAGCAATTTGGCTACCACATAAATTAGTGTGCTCTAGAGCCACCCTTCCTGCAGGCATTAAAGTTGTGAGCGAGCGATTTGGCTACCACGTAAATGAGTGTGCTCTGGAGCCACCCTTCCTGAGCTAAGACATGTGTGAGCCGGGGGCTAAGAAACTGTGAGCCAGCTCACACTAACTCAGCTTAGAGGGAACCATGGCCCTGGACCAATTTCTATTGTTTGCTGGACATCCCACCCTGCTGACCTATGCTAGGTAATCCGCCTTGAATCCTAATGGGAAAAGTGTATAAATAACTTAGATAAATCATTAAATGACAGGAAGGGGCGGAGTTGTGACTTCAGCAAGAAAACATATGTGCAGCCAGGGCTCTTTTTGTAGAAAAAGTCCAGCAGGAACTCATTAGCATAATAGGCCACACCCAGAAGCAGAAACCCATTAGCATATTGGGACACACCCCTGACAGCACAACTCATTGGCACATTAGACCGCACCCTCATGTTATCAGAAGTGTGGTTATCCAGCCACACCCACCTTTTGCTTCTTATTCTGTTTACCTTGTTTGTTGTCAAAACCCAGGGCCTTTTTTGTAGCAGGAACTCCTTTGCATGTTAGGCCACACACCCCTAATGTAGCCAGTCCTAATGAGTTTCGGCTGTGGTGTGTGGCCTATTATGCTAATGAGTCCCTGCTGGGCGTGGCCAACTTGGGAGCCAGCCGGAACTCCGTTCCTGTGTGCTCCTGCCCAAAAATAGCCCTGTGTGCAGCACTGGAAGAATAAGGGTGGGGGGCAGAGGACACGGGCCAGGATAAGAAGGTGGGAGAACTTCTGCGAAGACCCGGTCTCTGAACCTGCCTGCGCTAAAGAGAATCCTCTCGATTGCCGAGCCACCTTACCTTGCTGTCCTACGGGCCGTTTCGGTACGTGCCAGGGCAGGCTGGAGGCATCGTGCCCTTGGCTCCCTACCCACTACACGAGCACAGGACATCAGGTCCTTACAAGAGGCGGGGGGGGGGGAGGCAGTCCTATAGGAACTCCATGACCCACCTGAGGACTCTAACCTATAGATCAAAGACCACTAATGTAGAAAAGAAATCGCTACGTATTTGTTTCGGATAAGTAAAAGCAGCATACAGAGTGTGGGACCCGACCTGGATGGCCCAGGCCAGCCTGATCTTGTCAGATCTCAGAAGCTAAGCAGGGTCTGCCCTGGTCAGTGTTTGGATGGGAGACCAAGGCTGTTCAGGGTCGCTAGGCAGAGGCAGGCCACGGCAGACCCCCTCTGAAAGTCTCTCGCCTTGAAAACCTGTCAATGTTCCCTCTAAGCTGTGGAGTCTTGTGAGCAAAAATTCTACTTTGTGAGCTACTAGCATTAAAGTTGTGAGCGAGCGATTCGGCTGCTGCATAAATTAGTTTGCTCTGGAGCCATCCCTTCCTGAGCGGAGACAAAAATGTGTGAGCCAGAGGCTCAAAATGTGAGCTGGCTCACACTAACTCAGCTTAGAGGGGACACTGGTCACCGTAAGTCTGCTGCGACTTGATGGCAAAAAATAGGAGCATGGGACCTCACATGACATTCCTGAAAACCTCAAAAGCTCTAAAAATACCACGGGCACGGGCGAGAGGCTTTTCTGCTTTCCTTAGCCACCCCCCCCCCCCCCCCCCCCCCCCACTCTGAGAGCCCTAGATCCCCGCTCCCCTCGCCTCTACCTCGTGGCCTGCCAATAGTTCGTGAGCAGCATTCTCCTCCCCACCCCCACCCAGCTTAATGCTCAGAATGGACATCGCTCAACTCCCATCTCCCACTGGAAAAAAAGATGTTGCTTCTTCCCACTGCTGCTAAACCGAGCCTGTGCCTAGAAAAGGAAATTCCATTCATTTATTAGGCATAATAAAATGTGCACAGTTTGCCCGGGATTTGTTTAGCTTCCAGGGAACAAGCGTAACTTGGCACTGCGAGCCAAGATGGGCTGGGGGGGGGGGGGATTCTTATCAATTAAAGTCTCCCAACTGCCGGCGGAGCGACACCAAACGGAAAAAAAAATAATAACCTAATATAATTCTGCAGCTAGCATCAGTTCTACATATACATTTGCTTATTTTTATCCTGCCTCTGGCAGTCGGGCACTGAAAAAGAAAAAAGGAGCGAGGAAAGAAATGAGAAACCCGTTCTTTTCTTGAAATCCAGCCATCTTTTCCCACTCTCTAAGCTTGCACTGAGCTCTCTGGCCATTGCTCACGTTTCCTCGTTTGCCAATCCTAGAAACGCTGCTATTCTCAGGATGCTAAAGCCACTGCCGATGCTTTCCTGGTCAGCACGTAAGGCTAGAGGAATGGGTTAAGTATGGTAAGCCGGGAAAGGTCAACTCCAGACTCAGAGAAGCGCTGCGGACAAACACCACAGACACATCCTCCAGTTCTCTTCCACCTTACCTGTGTGTGCACAGGCTTGTCACCGGCAGAAAGTGACGGCGCTATAGCGATGTGTTTATCAGAGACGACAGTTTAGTTGAAGAGGACTCCAGTAAATGAGCCAAGCCACACACAAGAGCTTCTCCAGCAACAGAATCTGGTAATCTGACTTTACCATGCATGCAAACCTCATTTAACAGGAAGCTCTGTTGGAGGATAACTCATCACTCTCCTAGGGCACACCATGCCCATCCTTCACTGGAGATAAACTGGGATGACCCCAATATGCAGCACAGACACACTATATTTATTAGATACCTTGATTTCCATCTTTCATTCAGCAGGGCACCTGGGGACAGCCTAGCTGTGCTCTCTCCCAACCTTTCCCTAACCATCTGACATGGAATGGGTTGGAAACGGGTTGGAGGGCCAGCCGATCAACAACTTCTGTTCCCCGCCCCTGAAGAACTCTATATAAAAATTTGCCCTCCCTCAATTGATTATGTTTTATGAGATCTAATAAAATACGCCAGTTACACAATTTATTTAGCGAGAACACGAGAGATACGCAGGGGCGGAGGCCCAAATGCCTCAGGAAGTAGCTTTTATCCCTGGCCAGCTTGGTCCCTGGAGGCAGGACTTAACCCAAAACTGAGTGACCTTTTGTTCACAAGGAAAAAACAGCCAGGTAACCAAGCTACAGTTCAGAAAGCATTCAAGTACTGCACAGGCCTTGTCATGAAACAAGAACAGTCCAACTTCAAATAATAAATGGAAGTGTTTGAGGCAATCCAAATTCTGCATTCAGGGGAGGGACCGTGGCTCAGTGGCAGAGCTTCTGCTTGGCATGCAGAAGGTCCCAGGTTCAATCCCCGGCATCTCCAGCTAAAAGGATCTGGCAGCCGGCGATGTGAAGGACCTCTGCCTGAGACCTTGGAGAGCGGCTGCCAGTCTGAGTAGACAATACTGACTATAATAGATCAGTGGTCTGATTAAGTATAAGGCGGCTTCATGTGTTCATTTCTAAGTGAGGAGTATCTGCCTTGCATGCAGAAGGTCCCAGGTTCACTCCCCGGCATCTCCAGTTGAAAGGACCAGGCAGGAGGGGATGGGGAAGACCTCTGCCTGAGGACCTGGAGCGTTGCTGTCAGTCTGAGTAGACAATACTGACTATAATAGATCAGTGGTCTGATTAAGTATAAGGCGGCTTCATGTGTTCATTTCTAAGTGAGGAGTATCTGCCTTGCATGCAGAAGGTCCCAGGTTCACTCCCCGGCATCTCCAGTTGAAAGGACCAGGCAGGAGGGGATGGGGAAGACCTCTGCCTGAGGACCTGGAGCGTTGCTGTCAGTCTGAGTAGACAATACTGACTATAATAGATCAGTGGTCTGATTAAGTATAAGGCGGCTTCATGTGTTCATTTCTAAGTGAGGAGTATCTGCCTTGCATGCAGAAGGTCCCAGGTTCACTCCCCGGCATCTCCAGTTGAAAGGACCAGGCAGGAGGTGATGGGGAAGACCTCTGCCTGAGGACCTGGAGCGTTGCTGTCAGTCTGAGTAGACAAGAGTGACCTCGATGGAATAAGGGTCTGATTCTGTATAAGGCAGTGCAATGTGTTCATGTGTCCTAGCACCTCGGACGATGGTTAAATGGAACACTCCTCAAAAGTGCTTTATCTACTCTCATCTTCTAGCAAACAGACACTCGTAGGGATAAGGAAGCCCACAGTTTGGAAGCGCGAGGCCATATCGCTGGCAGGAAAGGCTAACACTCCCAGTCGTGTTTGTGGATAAGCTGCATTATCCCCGAGTGCTTTCGAAGGCAGGGTTGGCGTCTCCTTACCGATTACGTCGTCGTCGCCCTCCTCTTCGCAAATCACCATGCGCTCTTCGTCGCTGGTCATGTCCTCACTGGTAGTGCGCTGAGATCGGGAGGCGCGGGAGGGGTGTGGGAGCAGGGAAGGGCGGGGCCCTTCGCCCGGCGTGGCAAAGGGGGACCCCGAGGGGCCCAGCCCCCCGTACTGCCCCTTCCCGCTGACATACGGAGACGGCCCTGAGCACATCTGGAATGGAACACAAGTTACTCCTTAGGCCATCAGGCAGGAACACCCCGGCTGACACCGTCTGCTTTCCCATCTCTGGCCGAGCGAGGGAATTACAGTGGGAAACGGCTTATGTGGCAAAGGCGGCCCCCTTCAAAACCAGCAGCTCCGACTGAGTCTCAGGGTTACTGTCTCGCCTTTTTAAAGCTTCCAGGACAGACGTGCTGACCGGCATGAGACACTCTGGCTTTGCCTTTTCTCCTATGCTCCCCACATGAACCTGGCAGAAACGGGGTCTGCAGCAAGCAGGAATCCCTTCTTCACTGGCATAAAGAGGCCTCCACGCCAACCCCCATTCCCCAGATTCCAAACGTGTTCAGAGCCTGCCCCTCTCGAACCCTCTGGGCCTGTCCTTGCTCCCAGAAGCCCACTTGCTGACATATTTGAAGGACGGTTCTCCTTCCACGTGTCCCTGTGTACTAATTAGGGTTATCGGGCAGCCATCTGTTGGCTAACCCACCACTCGGGGTGGCCCGTCTTGCCTTGACCACAGCCAGGGCCTTTTCCATTGTGACTCCGGCTCCGTGGAATGGTCTCCCTGAAGAGGGGAGGGGGGTAGGGGCCTCCCCTCCTTGGAGATCTCCAGGAGGCGCTGCAAGAACTGCCCGTTCGCCAAGGCTTTCGAGGGAGTGCGAATTGGCGGGCACGGTTTAAGGCAGGGTGTGTGTGGGGGGGACATTTGGGGCTCTGCTGTTTTATTTTTTTGTTTTAATTTAAAACTTTTTAAAAATATCATCGCGAGCTGCCTTGAACCGCCAGGGAATGGGGGGATAGAAATGTTTAAATAAATAAATAAAACAAACAAATACCTGAGTGAGCTCCTGCAGCACCTGGCTGTCGCGGTCACTCTCCAGCCCGTGCACCCCGCTGTGGGAGAAGGCCCGTGGCCGCTGAGCGCCGGGCCCCGACATGGGCAGGATCCGTTCCCCGTGGCCATGCCCAGCTCCCATGACCCCCACTTTGCCCTCCGGTCCCAGCAGCGCCTGCATCTCCGAAGGGCCTGTGAGGAAGGGGGGAGAGACAGAGAGAAAGAGAGAGGTAAGAGAAAAACGGAGGAGGCCTTTCTAAGAGATAACCGAGCAACGAGGAGGGCGCTCACCTCCCGGCACGGCAGCGGTGCCCGTCTCGGACATGCTGCGCTCTCGCATCTCCTTGGTGCATCCCCCCGGACCCACGGGCTTCGCGTCGGAGCTGGACTTCTTCCTGTCTTTGTTACACCACTTCCAGTCGGGGTGTGCTTTGAAGTGGGCTTCCTTCACCTGGGATGCGAAGGAGGCGAGGGAGAAAGAGAGGCAGGGAGGGGGGAAAAAGAGAGAGCGATTGCTGGGCGAACTGGGAACGGCCTCCCCCAGAGCTGGGCGCGCGCACACTGAAAAGTTAAAACATTCTGCGCCAAGATGAACGTAAGTCTTTCACCAACAAAAGCCAAATACTGCAACCTGTGTCCATTACACAAATAAGGGGAAAGGTGCATGCTTCAGTTTAATTAGCATCGCGAAGCGGACACGAGGAGTTATGCAGAGCAACGCGGCCCTACCTCTGACCAGTGTTCCCTCTAAGCTGAGTTAGCTCACGGTTTCTTAGCCTCCGGCTCACAGATTTTTGTCTCAGCTCAGGAAGGACGGTTCCAGAGCAAACTAATCGATGCAGTAGCCAAATCGCTCGCTCACAACTTTAATGCCGGTAGCTCACAAAGTGGAATTTTTGCTCACAAGACTCAACAGCTTAGAGGGAGCGCTGCCTCTGACCCCAGGAAAAAGCACATTCGGTGAAGCCTCCACATTACGGCCCTGGGTTTGTTATCGTGCCTTGCCTGCAAGCACGCTGTCTGCTCATGCGGACGGCATCCGGCACACTAAAGCAGGCAACGGCACTCCCAAAGTTAATTCGGTCTCCCAGAGACTTAAATTTATTTATTTATTTATTTGGATTTCTACCCCGCCCTCCCCGAAGGCTCAGGGCGGCTAACAGGGCATAATGCCAGGTAATATAACAATGAACAATATGAAATGTTAAAATACAATAAACAGTTAAAACACAATTAAACAAACATCATAAAACAATTCCAGTGCTCCTCTGTTCAATTCCAGATACTAAGAATTTTAAGATTTTAAAAACCAAGATGGTGTTCTCCGTGGCGTAGCTAGACAACCACAGCAATGCGAATCCCACGGCCCTGCCGTCCCCTAAACACGTCCCGTTCCCTCCAATGATGCCTGCGCCGGCGGTAGCAACATGCGGAAGTCATAGGGCGTTGGTGGAACACTGGTGGTGGAACAATGATGGTGGCGGCTCCTATTCGAAAGCCTGGCGGAAGAGCTCCGTCTTACAGGCCCTGCGGAACTGTACTAAGTCCCGCCGAGCCCGGATCACCCCTGGGAGCTCATTCCACCAGATAGGAGCCGCCACCGAAAACGCCCTAGCCCTGGTCATTGCCAATTTGGTGGTCCTGGGGCCTGGAACGTCCAGGAGGGACTGTACCTGGAAGGCCAGGTCGTGGTATTTCTGCTTCTCCTTGGGCCCCAGCGCGTACCACCACTCTCCCAAGATCTTGCTGACCGTCCGATTGTCCTGGTTCGGATGCCGCTGATGCACCAGAGCCCGATGCCTCTTGCTGAAGATCATGAAAGCATTCATGGGCCGCCGGATATGGTCCTTCTCTCTCTGCTAGAGAAAAAAGGGTGGGTGGGTGTGTGCTGATGACGCCAAGGCCGTGACCGATCTTGGCCCTTCTCCGGGAGACAGACCATCGGCGTGAGCGACGCACAGTCTGGCAGGGAGGGTCCATAAAGGGGAAGGCAAATGGTCCCGGAACATTAGGGTGGTGGCAGAAAAAAGAACGGCACCTACCTTATTAGGACTGCGCCCGTCCTTCTCGGAGGAGGAATCCCGCTCCTTGGGCAGGGCGCTTAACGACTGGGTACGACGCTTCCCAGGCGGCAGAGGGAGTTGGACTTCAGGAGATACGACAGACAGGAACCTACAGAGTAGATTGCGGGGGGGGGGGGTTGGATCACCTTCAGCTAGCCAGTTCCCAACAGCTCTGAGAGTCCTCGCATCGTCCAATTGCTCCCAGAGTTGCTGGGTTTTCCCCCCTTTACCTATTTTATTTATTGATTTATTTATTTAAAGTATTTTTATACTGCCTCTGCCCAATCAGGGTCTCCAAGAAGGCGGACAGGAAAGCTTTCGAACAATTAGAAACATTTAAAATCATAAGATAATCCAAACAGAAACATAAAACCATCCCATAAAAACGCATGAACAAACAACAACAGAACTGGAGAGGAGGGCCAATAATGGTTATCGGGGTAATGCCAAACAAACAAAAAACTCTTCACCCGCTGGTGGAAGACACCGATAGAAGGAGACAGATGAATCTCCTGGGGGAGGAATTTCCACAGTTTGGGAGCCACAACCAAGAAAGTCCTGTCTTGGGTTGCCCTCCGCCTCACGTCATATGGAAGGGGGCAACTGAAGCCAGGCTTCCCACGACAACCAGAGCGAATGAGAACGTTCACACAGGAGAACACGGTCCTTAAGGTACGTTGGCTTTAAACATCAGTCCCAGCACCTTGAATGGGGCCCAGACAAAAACTAGAAGACGGGCCAAGACTGGACTAATATGGTCCCTACAACACACTCCAGTTCATAATCTGATTGCGGCATTCTGTGCCACCAGCGCTCCCTCTAAGCTATGTGCGTGAGCGGCCACTCATTAACACGGGACGCCTCGCTCAGCAGCAATCCAGAACCACACAGGATTTTGCACTGCCCCTGACCTGTAGCTGCAGTAGGGCCACGGGGGGGGGGGGGCTCTGCCACCTTCCTCAAAGGGCCAGCCCCCTTCCTTAAAGGCCCCCTGCTTCTTAAAGGCCCCCCTTCTTCCCAGAGGCGTTTAAAGGGATCCTTTCAATGCTTCTGAGAAGAAGCAGGGGGGGTGGCACGCCTCCGTCTCCATCCCCTCCTGCAAGATTTAAAGGGCCCTTCAGCTGATTGGTGGGGAGCACGTGGCCCGCTGATCAGCTGGAGGGCCCTTTAAATCTTGCAGGAAGGAAGGGAGAGGAGCACAATTTTTGCCCCACAAGCCACAAAATCCTGGCTTTGGGCTTACAGCAGATATATTCTGCTCAGGATGTGAATGGCTCCACTCAGTAGGGGGGGGGGGGATTCAAAGGGAACACTGACCACCTGAAGTTTCTGAATATTTCTCAAGGGCAGACCCATGTAAAGCCTGTTGCAGCAATCTTACCCAGATGCAGGGGTCATTTCCCGCAGGAGCGCACAGGAGGTGAGCTTCTGCAGTAAAGAGCCCAGGGGGCGGGCACAGGCAACAAGCTCCACCCCCTACTCCCAGCAGCCCTCAGTCAGAGCAAGAAGCAACCAGGTAAGCTGCAGAGCTCCCCCTGGTCCCCCAGTCCAAAACAGTCCAGTGGCACCTTTAAGACCAAGTTTTATTCAGGTAGAAGCTCTCCCTCCTCTGCGAGGACAGATCTGCACGTCCCTCCCCCCCAATAGCTAGCAATCCAAAACAGTCCAATGGAGCCTGAGTGGTGGGTGTTGCCTTCTGAAACACTCCCAGTGAAGTCAGGGGTGTGTGGCATATGCAAATGAGTTATACTAATTAGTTGTGCTAATGAGCTCCTGCGCCACTTTTTCTACGAAATGACCCCTGCCTAGATGTAACCAGGGCATGCACCACGTACCAGCCCCTTGATCCGACCCGAGCAGCAAACTACTGCCACCTTCTCCCCCAGCCCCAGGTTCTCCCCCAGCTACTGCCCATTAAACTCCTCCACGACGCGCACCCCACCCGTGTACTCCCCAGCCTCGCACCAAAGGTCCCACCACCAAACTACTCAGGTGTGAGTCAGTGTGAAATGGCAGCCCCGACTCTGCCACGGACTCACTGCACGGCGAGTCACTGTCTCTCAGCCTCGGTTTCCCCATCTGCAAAACAGGAGCCATGGCAGCCTCACGAGTCTGTCTGCGAGCGCGCGCAAAACGAGAACCGACAGATACAACGGGAAACGAACGACAGACAATGTGAGGCGGTGCTTACGCGTCATCGTGGTCGCTCTCCGTCTCGCTGTCCAGACGTGGGTGCCCGGGGACGTCATCGTCGTGCTGTGAGGGCCCACTACCCCCTCCCGGTGTCACTGTCAATGGTTGGGGAGCTGGGGCCGGGCTGTCGGGGTGCAAGGTGTTTGGCCTTCCCATCTCAGCCCCCGAGGACGCACCGGGAAGCTCATGAGCCACTGCGGCCGATTCTGGAGGCTCTGGGAAAGCACACATTAAATGAATGACAGCGGACCAGCGGGAGAAGAAGGGGGACATACGTGCAAACACATGCGTGTCTCATGCTGAGGAGTCCCACGCTGGGGAGGAGGGGCCACGGCTCAGTAGCAGAGCATCTGCTTGGCATGCAGAAGGTCCCAGATTCAATACATCCAGTTAGAAGGATCTGGCAGTAGGTGATGTGAAAGACCTCCGCCTGAGAAGCTGGAGAGCCACGGCCAGTCTGAGTAGACAAGTCTGACCTTGATGAACCAGTGGCCTGATTCAGTATAAGGCGGATTCACGTGGTCCCGTGCATCTGTTGACCTACTCAGTGGGCTCATTTCCTAACGGGACACCCTGGTGGGAATTGCCTGCAGGCACACCACACCCTGTTACACACAGACCCTCACCTTTGTTCTGATTGGACGTGGAGGGGTGACTGACAGGCTGCTGGCCTTCGCTGGGCTGCACGGAGGAATCCGGTTGGCTGGGAGCCAGAAAGGGGACCAGGGAGTGCCACGGGAACACAGCCACAGACCGTGGCTCCACATTTGTCCAAACTAGAAAGAGGGAAAAGAAACAAAAGGAGTCAGGCAGCTGACTTAGACTAACAAGTGAAAGGAGTGGAGCGGGATTCAATACAGGAGCGGGAGGACAGACCGAGGATCTGGACTCCAGGGATCCATTATTGGTGAATCATCCCAGGTTTCTTTTTTTCTCTCTCTCTCACACACACACATTCGCTCCTCTTCTTCTGAACGCTATAGTTCCCTTCACAGGAGAGGTTGGGGTTTTGTTGTTGTTGTTGTTACTTTCCTCTCCAGTCACAATCTGTCGCTCCGGTCCCTGGGGAGGGGCGGCAGTGGGGGAGGGGGGGGCAGCAGGGAAATTTTCTCCTCCATCTGCCAGGAAGCAACCCTGGCCTCCCCCACCCTTCCCAGCTGGAAGCCAGGCAAAGGAATTTTACAGCTGCAGGAGGGGAAAGGGGGGGGCGCTGAGGGGCCCAGCTCGCTCAGACTCCCACGCTTGCTGAGGGCAGCCAAGCTCCTTGGCTCCGTCCCAGCCAGGGCGCCTGGGAGCATCCCCAGGAGTTCAGCCTGCACAGGAAAGAAGGGTATACTAACACACACACCCCTTACACACACACACAAGGCGGCAGGCAGTGCTGCCCCTCTGAAAGTCCTCTGTGAATTGGGAGAGGAGCCCACGTCAAGGCACTGCTTAAAAATAATTTACCTCTTACGTGAAAGAAGGCAAAGAAACCGTTACTTCCTGTGCCCCAAAAAAAAAACACTCTCGCTCTCCCGTCCCCCCCCCCCCCCCACTAAGCATAAATTCCTCCTCAGGGTATCCAGGAAAAACGCACAGTGCCCACCTGACACAGGCAGCCGACAAAACACCTGTACCGTCTAGTTGTGACCACCCCCTCCCCACGCCATATCAGATGTACGATGCCTGAAGAAACGTGCGCGCGCACAAAAGCTTAATACTTTGAACAAAACTTTGTCGGTCTTAAAGGCGCCACCGGACTCAAACTTTGCTCTAACGCCTAGCCCCAGCAAGCCCAAATGCAGGTATTTCGCCCCTTCTACAGCACCGGCGACTTCAACCCGTGGTACCCACAGAAGCTTAAAGGCGGCAACAAGGCGAGGAGGAGGGTGGGGTACAAATCAAATGAATAAATAAATAAAGGAGGAACAAACTGCACTATCGCGAGAGATCGCCAATTGTGTGGCGCCATCAGGAGGCCAGTTAACGCACATCCAGACTCACATGCAAGGCACTGTGGGCTCCTTCAGCTCAGCAGCACTGGACTCCCCACTGCAGATCAACAATAAAACCTTCACTTTCGCCCGACCGCTCGCTAGCCGGCACGGCCGAGTTAACAAACGGGAAGAAAAATACACCCTTAACCAGCTTTGGACGCAGAGGATCCTCGCTAGGTTCCGCATAGAGCGTGAAACTTGCAACCAACTTAACAGTGTGCGTGGAGGGGGGGGGGAGACGTAGCTCACATGTCTGTCCTCCCACGTGAAGTCACTGCTCCCCGTAACGTACGTGTCCTCGGACACTCAGTACAACAGCAACGTAAACAGCATGTAGAGCTGCCGTTTATCATTCTTTTTCAAGACAGGGCTGCAATGGCTTCTTTGGCTGTATTTTATTGTAGATTGCGTCACGGAGGCCGGTTCATCCACTTGTTTGAAAAGCGAGGTATTAAGATCGTAAAAAGAAAAGATCCATTGTGTGGGTGGGTGGGGTGTGTGTCTTTGCTTCTTCCAAGAAGAAGCCCACTCCCAAACGAACACTTACCTCCCTTTGGACAGAACGCCCCTTTCCCTTCACTCCTCTCCCCTCCCTTTGCACTCCCGGATGATCAGTCGCTCCCCCCCCCCAAAGTTAACTCAATTATTAAAAGCCCTGAGTGCATCTTGGTCAGAGCTCTGCCGGGAAGCGCTGGCTCAGTGGCTTCCTGTTCTCCGGCTGGTGACCACATCCCTGAGAGGGGGAGGCGGAGAGGATGGGAAGGAAAGGGGGATAGCTAAAGCAAGGGCATGAAACATCAAGGACCCCCCCCCCACCCACACACACACACGCTGTAGTCTGCACTAGCGAGAAACACTAGAACTCGGAGGTTGCACGCTCCAAACAAAAAATTACAGATTGGCTTTCCAAAGTTAAAGCCCACCATCAGCAAAGCAAAACGACACAAGGCATGTGACAAAAAGAAAGCACAGACACACTGCGGGGGGGGGGACTAGGGCCCAGCCGGAAGCTGGCACAATGAGTCCAAGACCGAACCCAAGAGTCGTGGCATCCTGTGCCGGCTATCAAACATGCAAATGAGCAAGGAAAAAGATTTGGAAGCAGAACTTCTGAGCTCAAGCTAACATCTCTGCTAAGGACTGACCAAGCGGCCTTGGGTCTGTCGCCCTCTGCAGCTTCAGCACCGTTTCTGAACAAGATGATAAACAAATTGAACGGGGTTGGCCAAAATGCAGGCTCTAAGAGCTCATCTTTTTCTTTGTGCAAAACCAAGAGTTCTATGTAAATTTTGTACAACAAACTGCCACTGCCAGGTATCTTTCACCAGCCACCTCTTCTATACACGCCACATAGAACACGCTCGCTTCGATCATTCGGGCATCTGCCAAACAAAGAGCGAATGTCAAGGTGGTGGCCACAAGAGAAGGGCTTTTGGTAAAATACAACGTGCCCAAGTACCCGCCCTATTGGTGCGACCAACCCCGTTTCTAAAAAATCGATTCTGCTCCCAAGTCTTCGGCAGAATCCCCAACACCCAGAAATCTAGCAGCTGCCCATCACGGCGCCAAGAACTTCACCTGCTAAGTTTGTAGTCTCAGGCTGCAGTTGAAGACATAGATTCCCAGCCAATAAAAAAGTGTCAGTCTCAGACCCAACACTTGCTCTTTGTCTTAAAGCAGGGCTGCCCAGAGAGAAGGGGGAAGGCTGCGCTGAAGCACCTCCTTCGGGCCAACCTGCCTCCTAAAAATCTAAGAGGTCCCAAGCGGACTGCTGTGGAGCGTGGAAACTCCAAGACGCTCCACTCCCTCCTTCCCCTTTCAGCCACACAGAATGCAAAGCCCAGCAAATCGGCACAGCGTGGAACAACAGACTCCTCCAAAGTCACGACACAGGAGAGTTGAGAGGCCACCAAACTCCTGCCGCATCCTCCAAAATCACGCCAGGTGAGGACACGTGCGTCCCACTCACGTCTACATACACCCACACCTTTCAGAGTTACTACCGTGAACACACTCGGCAACCCAGTCCACTGACCGAACATTCCTAGCCCCCTGTGTGGCAGGGAGGGCAACGCAGCCGGGGGTCTTTCCATGGAGAACATCCCGAAGAGCGGCGAGCCGTTGTCTTGACGACAGGGTGGACCACTTCTGGATGTCTTCTCAGAGGTCCCGCGTGGAGAACATGCTCTCCTTTCTCCTCCCCCTCTGGGGGGGGGCGAGGAGTGGAGATGGGTCTCCCAACAGAGGAGTTTCAGGTGCAGGCAGGCAGGCAGGTCAGCGAGATGATTCCCCCCTTGGGGTCAGGCCAGGGGACGCCATACGAGGGAGACCACCACAGCTGGATGTCAAACAAGCCACCACGTGCGAAGCAACAGGAGGGACGGGGTGGGGTGGGGGGGACGGGGGGGGGAGACCACTGTGGGGGCTTCTAGTGTCCTGGTCCCACTGCTGGACCTCCTGATGGCCCGGTGGTTTTGGCCACTGGGTGGGTGTTGGCCTGGGTGGGCCCCGTTCTGGTCCTCCCCACAGGGGGGAGCGTCACTCCGGCAGCAAGTAGAAGAGAGGCAAGTTAGAAAAGCATCTTTAGGGGTGGGGGGGAGCGGTGGGAGGCGGAGGGGCCGGGCGTGCATGCAAAGGGGAAGGCCAGGCGCATGGCTCTAGGTTGCAAGACCCCCCTCGCCCAATGCACAGACCCCCCCGAGGTGCGTGGGTGAGCAGCAGCAGCGGCGGCGCAAGAGTGGCCTGAGCGAAGTAGGCAAGAGAAATGAGAGAGAGGAAAGGGGGTGGGGGGAGAGCTGTCCAGCACCCCGCCTGGGTATCCAGCTGCAGCTGGGGAGGGAGAAAAGGGGAGGGTCTTCCAAGGGGGGGGGGAGAGGAACAGCTTCCCTGGTCCGCCAGCGGCGAGCGCGCATGGAAGAG